CTGAAGGTTTGCCGCCACCTGCAAAGTCTCTTGCATACTTCTCTCTAGCGGCCACATGCTTGTCCTCTCTGATTCTGGAGATGTGTCTTTCGATGACGTCCAATAGATAGCGATAGTTTCGTCTTTGATCTCCTTCAATCCATGACTCGTACTGCTTGATGTCAAACATCATAAGACTCGAATTTCGAATCTTCTTGTATAGAGCATCACGAAGCCAATCATCAGGAGGTACATCATCCGGCATCATGTTTGATACCATCTCCATCCATTTCTCGTAGAACACTTCCAGGTTTGAGTCACCGAGATATTTCATCGATACGATGTGCTCCATAGTGAAGGCTGTCTCTCGTTGACCTGGAGTTCTGAAGTGCTCCAGGATCATAGCCAAGATTTCCCGTCCCATGACATAGGTTCCTCTTCGACTATGACTTTGCGTTCTCAATCTCAATTTGATCGCTACATGACGAGCAACATCGCCGGCTTGGGCTATCACATTTGACAATGCAATTGACAACTTGGCGTCGATTGACTGATAGCGTTGCCCTCCACTGTCATTTAATAGCTCGATGTCAGGATTTGGTCGAATAGCCGGCTGTAGCCATGCTTCCCATGCGGCTTTGTCTCCATCATTTGCAGAAAGAACAACGCTCTTGATGAGATCTGATTGCCAAACCCCAAGATTCTGTTGCTTCGGCCATGGGCTAACATAGACCTTGTCAGCCTCCCGTCTTGACATTCTCGGCACTTCTTCTGCAGTGTAAGCCGCTGTGGAGACATCATCTGCTGAATCGCGTTGTGACCCTCGAACTGAAGGCAAGCCTGGAGGTTCAGGAGGTGGTCCTGGACCGTTAGGCCCGAAAGGGTCAGGAGGTCCATCAGGGTCAGGCGGACCGCCCCCTCCACTCAGTGGCTTGTAGTAGTCCCTCTCAGTTCCATCAGCGATCTTGTTGTCCACCTCTTTCAGCAGATCAGTGATTCTTTTGCTTGATTGAGAAGGTTGTCGTTGAGGAAGTACAGCATGTTCACGGTAGGAATGAGCCACATTTGTCTCATAGTTCAACTCCTTGTCGATCTGCGAAACCCAAGACTTCAGAATAGCGTTTTCACAGTTAGCCTCACTCACGTCATTCTCCAGTTTGTCGATAACTAGTCTTGATGCGAGATCGTAGTTGGGAATGCCTGCCGAATAGGGAAGAGTGTCAGGGCTGACCCTAGATATAGATGTTTCAGAATCCTTGAGACTCTTTCTCAGTTCATCTAAGTGACGTTTCATGTCAACAATCTCAGAATTCTTGATACAGATCTTTTCATCCCTATCCTGGATTTCCCCCATGAACATGCATGATCTCTCATACTGTTGAACACCACTAGCCAACTTCATTTTGCGCTCATTCTCTAGTTCAGATTTTAGAGTTCGGACCTCAGCATTGGTGAGGGACGACGCCCCTACATCCGCAACTTCAGCCAATCTCTCTTTTAACAATATGTTCTCCTGTAAACATTCATGAACTTCATGATCTAGGTCCTGAACCCTGATTTGAGCGATTTTGGCTTGATTACGTAGATCTTCAACAAGCATCTCATCGGGGCCACGACCGTCGGTCGTAGTACCCTGAGTCAACGATCTTCGCAACTTCGTGTTCTGCAACTTGATCTCATCCTTTAATTCGCAGTTCATTTCCTGCTCGTTGGCATAGAGCTCTTCATAGTGCTCTGCCCTTGCGATCGAGTTTGCACTAGCCTGTGATTCAAGCCTCAGGTGTGATATTGCTTCGGCCTCTTGGTTCCTGTATGATGCAATTCTTTTGACGGTATCATGTTCAGTGTTTCGATGCTTCAGATCACTTTCCAATTTTGCCTGATTTGCCTCGAAAACCTTCTTCCTATTATAGATTCTCTAGTGATCTCGTCAATACTGCTTTCATACAGCTCGGCCTGTTTACGAGACTGAACCAAAGCTTCACTCAATAGTTGATTCCGTTCAGATAATTCATGAACTGCAATTGATTGTTGTTGGCTAATCACTTCGAGTTGGTTGCTAGAGAAGGATGCTATTTCGGATCGATTACGATATTCCATGATTGAGTTCTGGAAATCTGTCTGCATTTCTCGACCTTCATTGTACAGTCGATTGGCAATATCCGTGGTTAAGACATTGGTTTGATGAAGTTGTTGCAGTCTTGCCTCCGTATTACCCAATAGTCCTTGAAGGTGATGTACTTCATCCTTGTACTCCTCCTGGATCTCCATACCACGTTGATGGATCCGTCGTGCACCATGTTCCATTAGGGCACCTCGGCGTTCAAGGTCTTGGATGCGTATTGTTGCACCTTCGTCTTCCTGAGATGCTACCATTAGTTCTGCTTGATATTCTGCAACCTCATTTGCGGAACATGACAATCTATGATTGAGTGCATTGACCTCATCAAATACATTTTGGTTGTGTTCCTGAAGATACTCAGTGAATCTGATCTCGATGTCATGAATCAGCTGATCTCTAGATGCAGCGTATGCTTCCATTTGGTTCAACTGATTACGTAGGGATTGACATTGTGCCCGTAGTTCTTCTATCATGGCAATAGGTTCACTAGCCACAGAAGTATCCGTTGATCTCCTCTTAACACGACTATCCCCGGTCCTCTCACCAATTCGGTCGGTCACGGCCCTGGTGGATCTGTCCCTTGGAGTAGTTCGTCCTCGAGATGGTCGATGCCCTTGGCGGACAACATCACTTCGAGCACTGTTTCGAGAAGATCTTGGTGTACTTTGGGTGGATATCCTTCGTCTGTTTGACGTGACTTGCCATCCGGACTGTGTAGTTCGGGTAGAGCGTATCCCACCACTGTCTGCCGTGTCACCAGGGGAAGATTGATTGACCTCCTCGGCCGGCATGGCAGTGTTCTCATTGAAGGTAAACTGCGTGGTGCGCGAATCTCCGCTGCCGCCTTGCATCTTTGCGATGATGAGCTGATTGGTCCTTTGCGTCCTCAATCAATTGCTCAGAAGGCCCGGCTACCAGCACGCAGGTACTACTCTCCCGGCGGGAGAAGTGAGCCCTTACGGCTGATAACCTGTGAACAATTTGATCCTTGTTCTGGATTATCCCTTTTGATTGTAGTACCGGTTATGCTGGTAGTGCAGGGCAACGTCGCTGCATGGCGTTCAGAGAACGGTCTTTTTCCTCGCGCATGACTTGAGCCAAATGATTGGCAGTCCATGCAAAACTGTCTACATGCTCCGCATGTGCAATGGTTGTATTACCTAGTTCCCTTTCGCACATACATTCTATCATAATCCTATTGTGGATTACATCAAGTCTCTTCCATATTAGAGAAGTGACATTGAATGACATTTCCATATATGTCCGACATGATTAGGCATTCATTCTGAGATTCTGAGTCATACTCAGGGTATTACCCATCTATAGGTATATATATATATATACATATATGGTGATACAGTGATACCCATGAGATAGTTCATGGCATTGGCTCTACCACAACCGGACAGTGTCCATATGTCGGACAAAGGCACATCCCGCAGGGCGAAATCCGTGTCCTTCCTGAGGGCGGCGTCGGGACAGGCGGTTGCTTCATGGTAAAACAGAAAACACTGCTTGGACATAGATACATGGATAACATTATATATATATTACATTTGTTTGCTTCTTATTATTTCCTGATTTTTGTTTATGTATATATATATATATTATATATATAAAGATTGGAATTGCGCAATCATATATCGAATCACCAGACTCTCAACTACATATGTTGATTATTGCTGAAACTGATGATGATCCACCATGTCACAACTGTTTTGGGGAAAAAATACAGATGAACACTATTTTGATCTCCGGCAATCAAACATGGCAATGGACAATCCACTATTTATAGATTATTTTCCCAGCTTTAAACGTCCTCCCATTCCAACCTCCATTTATAGGGGTTTTCCCATTCAAAACTCCATTTATAGAAATGTCCCCATAAAACAACACCCATTTATAGAAATTGTCCCATTGAAACCTCCATGTTTGCGGCATTTTCCCAACCATTTCCCAACCATGCCCGAGTCATTGCGTCCCAGAAACAACGTGGAAGAACTTCTCCGTGCAGCTTTCGGCTTCGGAAACTCGGTAGAATGGTGGCACCAAGCATAATGGCACAATGGGAGTTCATGGGAATTTAACATAATTTAACCAACAAAACCATGGTTTAATGGTGGATTTCAATGGATTTTAATGGATTTTGATGGGATTCTAATGGGACTTGGGATCTACTGGGGCTTAATGGGACTTTAATGGGTTTTCACTGGACTTCATGGGATCTTAATGGGATTTAACCAACTAAAAATTCAATCACCAAACAACACCATGTTCAATGAGGATAAACCTAAAACCATCTAAGGATATAGCAATGCTACAATAGTATATCATCAGAATGGATATTATACATCCTACATGCTCTAAAGATATCTGAAGATCAGTATAGTATAATCTTTGAAGACTACATTGACATTCAATGGGTTGGTTTAAGGGAAAATCTTAACCGGAAACAATGTTTTTCCCATAAACTATATTTCATGGATGTGTCCGGTAAAGATTTTCCCTAAAAGAAATCCAATGATACATACTGTAACAATGGACATCATACGAAATTATATGACTACTCAGACTATTCATATGGGATATATCATGAAATCTCAAATCATGGGAGAGTTCCTGGGGATGCCAACAACTGCCTTACTGCAAAACAAAATTGCCGGCCATTTAAGGGGATTCCCCACAAACAAAACTTCCATCATTCCATATCGTTCCAATTGCATTCTTTAGAGGAACTACTGCTTGTTTCAATCTTTATAGGAACTACTGTACTTGTTTCCCATATATACCCATGTAATTTATAGGAAATCTCTAGTTCCCTATGACATGTTCCTTGTTTTCACGTCTTCCCAACCATTTCTCCAGGATTTTCCCAAGGATTCCATGGGCGCCGAGCAACGGCACGTGGACTGGCCCGGGGCGGTGGAAGGTCGTCTTCCGAAACGATCTCCAGCTGGGTCTCCTGTACTTTCTCTTAAGGAATCATGGGGATTCATGGGGATTCATGGGATCTGGGTGTATCATGAAGATAAGTTTGATAAGTTTAACAAAAACTAAAAAAGAAAAACTAAAAAAGAATAAAGAAGATAAGTTTGGAAGTGACTCATGGGAATGAGTATGATATGAACAATATTTGGGATTTGTAAGTCATGGGAATTAATGGGAATTATTGACAATAATAATGATAATTTTGTAAAGATGATGATCACAAAACTGATATCATCTTATATGTGTAAAACATATTACCATCATAAAAAATATAGTATATAATTATAACTAATAATAGTATAGCAGCAATAAAATAATAGAAATCTGGGTTGATAGGATTTTCAGTGACTATTTCAGGAACCTAAATTGGAGCTACTTACCACATAAATTGTCTATTTGTGTGGTGGATATACCTCCAAGGTTATATGGCTTTGTGTGGTACAGTACCTTCAGTTTGCTGTACACAGATGAGATACTGTATGTAATTATATAGCTATAATCTACCCAGATATAATTAAATGGTCAATGGGTAACTCATTATATACCATTCAGTTACATATAGCTATAAATTTCCCACTATTTATATCTAACTTTCATAACTCGCTAGCTGGGAATTCCTGGTTTTTGATCTCTGGTAATCTAAGAGTTTGCCACGGAAACTGGATCAACATGGCCTGTAGAAGAGCAATCCCCAAAAAAAAACATGATGGGTGTGTCGGTGTCCGTGGCTGTGTTTTTTGGTTAATTACCGGAGAGTTTCATACCATGAAAAGCCAAGCATGTGATATTTGGGTATCTACTACGGACAATAGCCAGAATGGCAGTCTGGAGGACGTGTGGGAATTCAATGGTAGATTTGATGGGATACCCCTGGTAATTTCACATAGCTATATATAGACAATGGCCCAGTTAGTTCGTTGATTTACCGATAAAAAACCTGGTGATTCCTCACACCAATTCATTGGATGTGCGGGATTTGTTTGGGGGTTTTCGGCTCAAAGAAATCTTGCTTTAAGCAACATATCATTGGGAATTCATAGGACATAACACACAACATGGATCCTTAGATGTGAATGTCATCACCAGGATGTGCATAAATCAAATAAGGGATTTGCCCATGGAAAAAGGAAAAACACAGCTGAAGAATCTAGTAGGATCTACCTGCGAGGACCAAAAAAATAGGTATCAAGTAGGATCCACATTTCATGTCTTTGTTTTGGCATTTGACCATCCCCAAATCCAATTATGTTGCATGGTTGATTTGAGGAGATGGACATGTAATCTTACTGTAAGATGCTTCAAGTATAAAAATAACATGGGCCCGTTTGAGCAGAAAAAACTCAGTGCACTGAAACCTTCCAACTAAAATCTGTACCATCTACCTTCTACAATATAATATATATATATAACTTAAGTGAATATAGACATACACATCATTTGACGAAAATCAATGCGAACAAATCCACAAGGATTGGTAAATTTACTGTTTGAACACCACTCAACTATTGGGCTTTATTTCATCTCCAACAAAAACAATGCCTTTTCAATAATGTTCAAAACCTCACAAGACATTTAGCACCCCCTGATATATGATTTCATTGGAATCCCATTATTTTTTTTGGTGATATTCATCATATCCCATTAGGGTCCCATTAAGATATACCCTCTGGTAAACGTTTACATAACGAACTGGAAAATCACCATGCATTAATGGGAACATCCACTATGTCTATGGCCATTTTCAATAGCTATGTTAGTTTACCAGAGGGTAAACCACAGGATTTTGAATCAGAAAAAACCACCTGTTTCACCTTTGTCAGGAAATTTTGGGCTACACCGAATTCCCATAGGGTATGATATATCATTGAAAACCCATAAATCCATACATATATATATATATATATTAACCATCTATAGGTATGTATGTATGGCATTGGCTCTACCACAACAAGTGTCCAGTGTCCATATGAAACATCCATCCAAGGAATCCATCCATCGGTCACCTCGTGGTGAACGCTTTCCACAGGCTCCACAGGCTCAGGCTCCACAGGCTCCACCTCGAGACTGGGGCAGGCCAAACACGGCTAGTCTGGCACATATGTAGTGTTGTATTTTGTCATGTATATACATATAACTATGTATATATATATAGTTGTTACGTGTATATATATATATATATACATATGTATATATATATATATGTATATATATATGTATATATATAAATGTATGTATAGTATATATGTACATGTGCAGTACACACATGACGCTATATAAGCATACTTAATCATATATCTTCCCACATCTTTGAATGGCTTTTCAAGGACAAGGATCAAACAATGCAGTTTTTGGGAGTTCCACCTAGTTCAACCAGTAAAACACACAAAAAATGCCCAGATTTGCCCACCTTTTCTTCGTCTTTGGCGATCCTGTCATGCTTCAGCAGCACGTCGATGTCCAGAGGCGCCTACCATTGGGGCCCCATGAACACATCGAGAAGGTGAGGCCCCAACCCCATGCCAGGTCCATTTTCGATCTTGTTGGTGATACTGGTGATATTCCCAATGATATTCCCATTGGGGGGAAGGGATACCCCACCACTTCCAGACACCAGACACCCCATTAGTTGGCTCTACCCGGTCGTCCTCATCCTCGAAGGAGACGCCCTGCGGTACCACAAAAAGGGATAGCGGATAGAATCACTGGCGGTGCATCTTGGAAGAACATGGAATCTTGGAATAATTGTTATTTTTCCGAAACGATGCTAAGAAGTGGCGAAGTCCAACCCCCTAAGGTAACCACATGTAACCACGGGGAAAAAACACGTATAGCCAAAGCCCCGATCTCAGCTTTCCCACAGTGTGTATCATTCGAATGGTGGGTAGTCAAAACATTTGGCCACAGCAATACCATCAATACCAACCAAAATCGTTGTTTGGACCAGTTCCCTGGATCAAAACGATTTCCGAAAGTATCCCCACAGGGCCGACCCAGGGTGAAGCCTGGTTAACGGGAAATCAAAATTTGAATGCAGGCAACAATTCTTAGTGTTCATTGTTCCATATTGTTCCTTGTGTTTCCCAATGATTTCAGCTTGAGGATCTATCGCAGTGCTGAGGTCATGACATTTTAGCGGATTTTATGTTAAGTTATTTCAGTGGCTCTACAACCACCTTACATTTCTCAGAGCTCACAATTAACAACAATTAACTGAGGTTTGGGATCAAGGAAACGCCCGAGATCTCCAACGAAGCGCGCTGAATTTGAAGGCTGCAGTGTTGCGCAATCTGCGAATAAAACTTCAACACTGAGTTATCTCCGCCTAAATGGCCGAGTCTGCGAAGTTGTTTATATATCTAAATGATATGTGTATATATATATATATTCACCTATCTCTATCTATCATTGTCTGTCTATTAATAATATCTACATTTGCAACACAAGTATTCACTGATGTGATCTCTTGATATTTCTAAATCATCCAAAGCAACGCGCTCGGCGTAGCAGCAACTTTCATGAGGCAGCCCACACCGAACGGTACTACCTCCCGCCCCCGCAGCCCCCACACATCTTTGTGGAAGAACTCCAGGCTAGAAGTTTCTGAAGGTCCCGGAAACCTCAAACATATTCTACCAACTACATGCCCATTTATCATGTTTTCTTCAAATACATATCTGCCACATATGCCAGGGTTGAAACACAGTGTATGCTGCGTATGCTTTAGATTTTATGGTCCTCCATCCCATATCAGGAAAACTTGCAATGTAACATTAAGTCCCTGTTATATAATAGAGAAGGTCCATACCTCAAAATGGATATACAATTCAACCTTTCATCATGGCACATATATCATATATCCCATCAATATGTTCATTCCACGATATTCCGTTCCCGTATGCTTCACCCAATGCATTCCTCAACTATAAAATAGTCTGGCAACATCTACCAACTATATCCCCATGTCCGATTTCTTTCATATACATCTCCACTGCCCTTTGGTAAACTAACATAACTAGGAAAATCACCATTTTAATAGGTCTGTAGGTAAATCAGTTGTAAACTACGCCATTTTCAATAGGTAAACTAGGATATGATTGTTCATAGGACATCCCCTACAAATTTCCAATACATTTCCTATACCCTCTGGTAAACGTTTACATAACTATGGAAAATCATCATGCTATTAATGGGAAAATCCACTATGTCTATGGTCATGTTCAATAGCTATTTTGACATAACCAGAGGGTAAGTACCTTCTCAAACAGTGGCCATGGATCCATAGGGCATTATACCCTCTGGTAATTTAACATAGCTATTGAAATTTGCCATTTATAGTGGATTTTCCCATTAAAAATGGTGATTTTCCATAGCTATGTTAGTTTACCAGAGGGTATACCTTACCATGTATGGTACATCACCACTTCCATCTCCCCGCCTTGCGCACCGACATGGTCACCGGCTGCACCGTGATCGCTTCATGCGTCCCGTAGTCCGACTTCATCAACTCCACGATGTAGCGCTGCCCTGGGAGTCGTGGATGAAATCATGGGGGTTCTGGGACATATAGTTTCTATATCATCGTTATATATATAATTAATTCATAAATATATATATATATATGTATGAGGATATTATAATAGGATCATCGTGTTTAGATAATATGATATGTTCTGACTATATCATGGTTACCATTAGTCATGGGATATTCTACTACATTATACCGGGATCTATGAAAAAAATCACATCCCTAAAAGGACACCAAAAAAATTAAGGAACGCTACCATTCGTTGACACTGTTGACGTTTTTGCACAGAAATCGTTGATGGCAAATCTGGGAGGCATGGAAATTGCCATCGGTTTTTGCGATCCATTTTGGTATATGCCATATGTAAAATCTGAGTATAAAATCCCACTGGTATTGCCATTTATTGGACCTTCCATTTTTTTTAACGGAAAATGAGGTATATGCACAGGTATGAAAACCTACAAAGGGAGTAGCACTATTTGGGAAGGTCCCATCGCTTACCTCATGTTTGTACAATTTTTGAGGACCGCCGTCCGTCCCCTTGCTGTAAATGTTTTCGATTGCCGAAATTTATGTGGTGGTTCATAACATGTTTTTGACATAATTTGTTTCAATATATAGTTCTTACCAACAATATTCGTGGGCTGGTTGGGAACTAAAAAAACACACGGGAATTTGTAAATTAAACACCAACATTGGGGTTTGAACAATGGTTGACGCGTGAATATCAATGAATTATAGACAAACTAAGGATGGTATATCGCCCATTTTCTGGTGAAACAGGGACGGTTAACAATTGGGTTTACCACATTACGTGGGATATAACCAGCGTCCCCTCCAAGGCAGCTCGCCAAGCTGGGGTTATTTGCTTTGGTGAAACACAAAAGTATGGATATATCCCGAGGAAAATCATCGTTCATATATATATATATAATCATATATAAAATATTTGAAAAACAAAAATATATGGGTTATATAGCCATATAATCTTCTATTGGTACTTTTTTTCCTTTGCAGCATTCTCTTGCTGTTCCAGGCCTTCGTGCAGCTGGATCAAGTGCATTTCCAGGTTTTTACGGTGCTCCAGAAGTACATTCTGTAGCCACGGCTGCAACTCCTGATGGAGCGCAGTTAGTTTGGGGCGGTGCATGCTGCCAACAGATGGGAGTTATATATAATTTAGACGTGGCCTCTAACAGTAATTTGGGGTGTTTCTTAAATATACCAGTAGTACCGCACAAGGCGGTTGCGGAAATTTCAAAAATAGGAAACTTATAGGAGGGCTTGGTTGTTCTGAATCATGCATTGCAGAGTGACCCCACTGCTGGATTGACAAATGGTTGGTTGGATTGTTGGGCTGCCCACCTTTCTATCCTGGCAGCTATCTATCTATCTATCTATATTTCTTTCTTTCCACCGCTTATCTGCCTATCTATCTTTCTATCCACTTGTCTTTCTATCGCTTTGATCTAACTATCCGTCTACAGAATCTATCTTTCCTTCTATCTGTCTCTCTGTCTATCTATCTATCTGTCTGTCTGTGTATCTATCTGTCTATCTGTCTATCTGTCTATCTGTCTATCTGTCTATCTGTCTATCTGTCTATCTCTCCATCCACCCATCTATCCATCGATCCATCGATCCATCTTTCCATCTATCCATCCATCCATCCATCCATCCGTCCATCTATCCATCTATCCATCTATCCATCTATCCATTTATCCATCTATCCATCTATCCATCTATCTATCTATCTATCTGTCTATCTATCTGTCTATCTATCTGTCTATCTAGCTATCTACCTATCTATCTATCTACCTATCTACCTGTCTGTCTATCTATCAATCAATCAATCTATCTATCTATCCATCAATCTATCTATCTATCCATCAATCTATGAATCTATCTATTTATCTACCTGTCTATCTATATCTAATTCTATCTAGCTATCTATATATCTATCGATCGATCTATCTATCTATGCACCTATCTATCTATCTATCTGTCTATCTACCTGCCTACCTATCTATCTATCTATCTACATATCTATCTATCTATCCATCCATCCATCCATCTATCCTTCTAATCTATCGATCTGACTATCTGATCTATCTATCGGTCCATCTGTCTTTCCATTTAACTGTCTATCCATATCTATCTCTCTACCTGTTTATCTATCATAGGAAGTGCTGCACCTGTCACGCAAAATCATCTCAGCAAACCTGAAGATCTGATGTTCCAAACTGCAACCCCTCTCAGGATATCAGCGCGCTGACCTCCTAACATCTCTGATGAACATGTCTCTTGTACTGCGCCTGCCACGCGAAATGCATCTTTGCAGATCCTCTTCAAAAGTCACATGCATGCCAGCGTGATTGAAACTGCTACAAAACCTCAAATTTTGCTCACTTTTGGCAGGGTGCAGAATCCCTTGCGCCTGCCACACAAAACGACGCTTCAACGTCCAAAGGTGGTGCGAACATGTGTTTTTAGCATGTTCACTTCGAAATGTGCTTCCCGCCAGAGTGGCGTGCACTTTTTCAACATCTCAATCTCAACTTCCAAAAGTGCTCCAACACTGGTGTGTTTTGTACATTTTGACTTCGAAAGGTGCTTTGCGCCACAACGGCGGGCACTTTTTCAACAGCTCAACTTCCAAAAGTGCTCCGAACCCCCTCAGTTTTTAACACTTTTGACTTCGAAATGTGCTTCGCGCCACAAGGGCCTCTACTTTTTCAACATCTCAACTTCCAAAAGTGCTCCGAATCTGTGGTGTTTGACTTCCGAATCTGCTTCGCGCCACAGCGGCGTGGAATTTTTCATCTCTCATCTGCCCAGATGGCGCCGCACCCGCCGCTTTAGCGAGCCTACTTTTCGACCCTCCTGAGCCCCAAAACATTGGAAAAGAAAACGCAATGTTTCGCGACTTTGCTACCTTTTCGCGCACCTGCATCTTCTTTCTTCTGACTCTTTCTCCTCTTCTCTTCACCTCTGCTTTTCCATTTTGCTTTTCCATCTGCCCACATTGTAGGAAGTTTGACTTCTAAACCTCCTTCGATAATTATATGTATATAATTGTATTTTTTGTTATATAAATGGGTAAATAAATACGTATTTAATAAGATACACACCGTAGATGGACGATGAAATCAAACACCCCCAAATTTCAATGTTGTCTTTGGGCTGCGCGCTTGGGCGCGGTGGACAAAAAATAAATCCTGAACGCAAAGGAAGCCATGTAGAGTTTGTTCAACATTGCGATTTGGGGTGTGGGGGTTTACTTGGTAGATGTCTGTAGGGTTTGTTTTTTTGTCCATTTACTGTATGTTGTGATATATGATGTTATATGATGTTATATGATGTTATATGATGTTATATTGATATAATCATATACACATATAGAGACATAGGTGACCTGTCAACAAAATACTCTAGTTTTCTAATGTTTTCTATATCATATACGCATATTCAACCATCGAAGTGGAACTAAAGGAAACAAACAACGTTGGTGATGTAACAAACATCATGAGGATCTGGGTAGATCAGCCCAAATGACACACAGCCCTGTGTGTCTGGAAATGGGCATAGGCTCCTCGTCAACTTCAGACATCGACCTCAATGGATCGGGTCAACATGGAGGTACCAAAAAAAAATAGGATCACCATGGATAAGAATGGATCAAAATGGACAGTTTTATTATATTTAGAAAAAAACACATATCAAAAAAAATTATCGTCATCGACATGTATCAAATATAGATCTGATGGATCAATATATGGATTGAACTGAATATGATTAAATAATGTTTATTTTTTTCGGGATTGGATCCCATCAACAGAGGCGCCGGACCTCTCTTGCGCCATCAGGTCACATCTGAAAAAATCGACTCGGTCAATGCGTTACAAACTCTGAAGCTGGAGGGGCTGAAGATGGTGAGTTTCTCTAAGCCTAACACGTTCTAAAACATTCCAACAAAAAGTCCTAAAACAATCACTAAACTAGAACGATGCAAAACCTTCCGAAAGATATATCTCTTTTTTTGTCAAACACGTTGTATATAGATTATTCTCCCATTTATATGGCCATTTATGGGGATTTTTCCACTGCCACGTTTGATTGAATAAGTGTTGCGTCTCTTCAAGTTCCTTGTTTTCGGTCGACGGTCCCGCTTGAAATGGCAACGCTTCAGCGAAAGAAATGGCTGTCGTTTGTGGGGTTGCTTTTTTTTCGCGACATGGGATGGACTTTTACTGGAGATTGACCATATTGGGCTTAGAGCCTTGAAATTTCACTTTCAGTATCATTTGTATATATTTATAAGATAATGAATATATAAGACAAAATGAATATATTTCCTTTGTATCATTTGTATATATCTTATATATATAATGAATATATAAGACAAAATGAATATATTTCCTTGCAGGACATGTTTTATATATTCATTATCTTATTCTCTCCCAAATCTTTACGGAAGATTTCTGCCACCTCCCGAGGGTTACATCCGCTAGCGAATGCCCTCTGCTTGGATCTACAAAGACATCACCTAAATTTCTCAATGGCATCACCATCGAAAAATGGCTGCAGGGCAAACTCCCTTTCCAAGGTAGGTCTTATCGATCCTCAGGGCACCATCAAACGCCTTTTCACCACATGTTGCGGCGAAATCTTGCAGTTCTCCTCCAGTCTTTGGAAGCTGTGATACGAGCTGCTCAAGGTAATCATTTCATCACCTGCATGGCTGACAAATTGAAGTTATATATATACTATATACCTTGCAACTTGTGATGTGATCTGACATTTATGGAAGCAGGAAACCACAATAGAAGTTCTCTGGAATGTGTCCCTAAGTGTAGTATTGATCTCAAGGAACGGAATATGCTTGGCCGATTTTCGAATGTGCTACTGCTTTGGCAGGAGCGCGACACATCTGACATTGGGCCCTAACGTTGTTGATCTTCCCCTTTTTGTTGGCCCAACCGTTTCCTTTTGGACAAACGATCAGGACCAAACCCAAATTCTTGCGATTTCATGCATTTCAGCGTAGTATGGATGAGTATCTTCGATTTTTGCTGCTCGTCTCACCCATTCTTCGCAGTTGAATCATATTAAGTCCCGGTTACATTTCCAACGGATGAAGCTCTGAGCCGCGAGCGGCTCATTCCAGTGGAAAGAGGGTATAGACCTGGCGATTGGATCTACCCTGTGGGAAACTGTTCCAAAAAGGTGTGGAAAACCCGGCAAAGATCTGCATTCATTCTGGCTTTCCTAGTTTTCCACATTGATGTTAATGCGTTTACAGGAGGCTATTGGTGCTTCAGCCACCTCAGGAAAAATATGAAACAAAATGAAGATCAGTTGTGATCATGAGCCCATTTATCGATTCAAACTGGCTTCTATCCCCGTTAATCAGAAAATCTTGGGATTTCCGTTCTTCGAACCGATTGGATCCGTTGGGGGGATACTGCTGAAATTTGGGGCAGCAAAGAATGACGTTTCCTACTTTGAGTTGGCAATTGTGGGATCTAATCAATCTATATATATATAAATCTTGGGGACTCAATAGCCGGTGCATCCACTGCCCAGAACATTGAACCCAACAAGTTCTGATTGGAAAACGAGCGAACATCCGCCGCAGCCGCTGAACCCAATGCCTTGTAGTCGGGCCCAGGACGATGCTCTTGTGACGTTTCGTTGGTTTCACCGACGCCTGGAACTGTCACGTAACACATGTGCTTAGTATCACAGATGATATCTGGTTGGTCGTTGACCTACCCCTCTGAAACATATGAGTTCGTCAGTTGGGATGATGACATTCCCAATATATGGAAAACTATACAGTAACATGTTCCAAACAACCAACCAGATATGATTATATGCTATATTGCTGTTAATATATAGTAACATTAGCACATATTAGCAGAACTTATTGCATATTATCATTATCGTATTACCACATACTGTCATATATTTTCGTTACAGGGGGTGAAGTTCGAGTCCCTGGACATAAAAAGCATCGTCCATCATGTGTATGGCGGGTTTACGCAATGGAACCGCATTCATTTTGGAAACCAAACCTGCACTCAATCCAGAAAACATATCACCTAATCTCTTCATTTTAGAATACAACAAAACGTCAGTTTCCAACTTGCCAATACCTATACACATCAAAAGTCAAACAAAATGCAGTTTTGGAGCGATTTGTACCAAGGGTCTTCAGAACATTAAGGATTTGCTGGGTGGCAGGCTAGGGTTGCCCACCGGGAAGCAAACATAACTGGCTGAAAACCAGACTTTATTGTAAATTCCTTCAAAGATTGATACCCTCTGGTAAACAAACATAACTATGGAAAATCACCATGTTTAGTGGTAAATCAACTATCTATGGCAATTTTCAATAGCTATGTTTGCTTACCAGAGGGTATCCAAATATCTAAATATTCAATTATCTAAGACATGGGCCTGGGATGGCCTGAGTAGATGGTCGCCGTTGAAGGGGCAATGTTTATACTGTATCATTTATATCCCAATTTTTATGGGGGTTGCAATCATAAAGTAGGAACTTGAAATGTTAAGATTCGGATATAAAGGGATATAAACATTGCCCCTTCAAGTTCATACTTTATGATTACAATGTATGGGGGTTGTAATCATAAACAGTAGGAACTTTAAGATCTGGTTGGGGGCTGATAACTTTAAGGTCTTCAGCTATCTATTTTCTTCCATGGATCCAGCCATCCAGACATCCCCAAACCTAACCATTATCCGAGCCTGTGAGCCTGTGACGTTGCTTTAAGTGATTCAGGCGGGTTCACATTCAATTCACCAATGTATGAATGTATGGTAGAACCTCAACCATCAACCACCAACCAACTTTTGGTCCTGCTCAAATGGATTTGCCTGAAATCGGATACCTCAAGATTTCATTGATTGAAAATGATTCAAACTAAATTTTCCAATTTTCCGTATAACACATGAACATCAGCTGAAATCACCACGTTTCACCATGTTTCATGGCGATTTCTCACTCGTGCCTGGGGACGCATCCTCTTTTTTTTCGTCTCGGGGTGCCAGCTTGCCGAGCTTGGGGCGACCTAAGGTCGGGAAATCCAATGGGTTGAAAGATCCTAACGTCGTAACATCTACCAGACATGTGCATTTTGATGTATGGATATCTGGTTGGTGGTTGACATACCCCTCTGAAAAATGATGGAGTGAAAGTCAGTTGGGATGATGACATTCCCAATATATGGAAACATAAAAAATGTTCCAAACCACCAACCAGATATGTTTCAAAATAATGATGGGAAAATCATGGAATCATATATGGAATCGAAAATCATCGTTTCCGTATTTCCAAGATGTGATCGGTGACCAAAGGATAAAGATGGATAGCACATGATCGAACCGGCACAAATGGGTTTTGAATGGGAATTTTCACTGGAGAGATGGTAATTTTTGCTCCCGGGCTCACCCTAGATATGTTTGGGTGGAAAATTGGTCGGTAAAGAGGTAATGTTGTTCCATGTTTTCCTTTAAACGTGGCAATGGGTTGGAGCAACCCTGAAATATCAGGACTTGACGACTGAATTAGTGAAACAAAGTGGGGTCTGAGCAACAAAAGTGGAATTTAGCCAAGAAAAACATATAAAATTTGCGCAAGCACTACTTCCTTCCTGTGCTATACACATCCTATCCAGCCTTGCACCTTGCCTGTCTGGTCTTTGTTGAATTCTACCAAATACATGCGGAAAATAAAAACACATAAACCATATGGTTTTCAGTGTGGAACTAGCTTTGTCAAATCACACATCCAAGCAAAAAACAAGAAAAAACGCATGCTATAGCGGGTTACACACACAGAGAAAAAACAAAAACACATAGCCATAATTCACTGTTACCACCCATTATTGAGCACTAACTTTCTACTATTAACATCTATTAACTATTATACACCATTCTTAACTATGATCAGCCATGATTCACCACAGATAAATAATATTAACCGTTAGTAACCACTATATTAGCCATGATTATTAATTAACCGGCGATAACCGGCGATTTTCAGTATTAACCACGGTTCACCACTATTAATTAATTTAGTCCATGGTTAACCATAATTATTAACCGCTATTCACTACTATGAACCATCATTAATGACCATATCAAAGAATTGGATGATGGGAAAATTGAAACCGGAAAGCCCGATCAATTTGATGGTAAAAACCATGGTTTCCGGTTCCAATTTTCCCTTAAACCAATCCAGTGACCATTAATAGTGGTCATTAATATGGTTAATTCACCATTAATAGTGGTTATTCACCATTAATTCACCATTAATCATGGTTAACAATCATTAAACCACTATGAACCATCATGAATGACCATATGAAGCATCTTATTTTTCCCAAGCAATTTTCATTCACCTCGGCCTCCCAGCTCTCCAGCTCAACACGGTAGCTGCCGGGACCCGGACCTGGCGACCATTTCAGATGGCAGTGGTTCGAATAGATGTTAATAGTATGTGAAAACAGACTATTAATAGATGTTGATAGTATGTTAATAGATGTTGATAGTATGCTAATAGATTCTATAGTAGATGTTGATAGTATGTGAATAGGTGTTAATAGTATGTTAATCGTATGTTAATCGTATGTTAATAGATGTTGACAGTATGTTAATAGATGTTGACAGCATGCAAAAATATATTAATAGATGATGACAGTATGTAACATATTTTAAAAGTATGTTAATAGATGTTAAACATGTTGAACGTATGTTAATCGATGTTAATAGAATGTTAATAGATGTTCACAGATGTTGATAGTGTGTTAAGAGATGTTGATAGTATGTAACTAAATGTTAATAGTTGTTAATAGATGCTGATATTATGTTGATAGATGTTAATAGATGTTAATAGATGTTGATATAATGTTGATTGATGTTAATAGATGTTCAAAATAGTTTAAAAGATGTTGATAGCATGTTAATGTATGTTGACAGTATGTTAATAGATATTAATAGATGTTGATAATATGTTAATAGATGTTGAAGGCATGAAACATGTTAATATATGTTAGTATATGTTAATGTATGTTAATATATGTTGAAAGTATGGTGATAGATGTTAGAATATGTTAATTGTATGTTAATAGATGTTGATGGTATGTTAATGTATGTTGACAGTATGTTGATAGATGTTAATACATGCTGATAATATGCTAATAGATGTAGATATCATGTGAAATGTTAATAGAATGTTAATAGATGTTAATAGTATGTTAATGGACCGTTCGTTCTGATTCCTCTTTGCGAATAGGCTGCCCGCTACCCCATTGGTCCGAATTAACTCTCTCCGAGGCATTCCGCCTACTGACCTCCCCTCGGAATTTTAGAAGTGCCCAGCTTCAGCTGAAGTCTCTGATCTTCATGCGGTTCTCTTTCTTCATGGTCTAATACCCCACTGTACCGAACAGTGATCTCTCGAGCGCAGCCCAGACAGAGTTGGAAAGTTATCACGGGTAGACTGCCCCCTCCCTCTAAGAGGCAAGGCCAAACATAAGCATATGGGTATGGGTCAAAATTAGGTACCCCAATAATTGGATGGTGAATACTAAACTAGACCAACATCTGTGGTCCCCTAGGTCTTCCATTTTGACCCACATCTATATATTTACGTATTTGTATTTTGCCATTGGGTGTTCATTCGTCATTTTTGCTGATTCAATCTTCGCTGCACTTGGTTTTCACACGCAGGCTGGGGCGGACGGATCCGTGCAGGTCCTGTTCGCTTTGGAAAAAAAAGATGTTAATATTAGTACGCATGTTAATAGATGTTAATAGTATGTTAAATAGTGATTGATCATAGTGAATTTCATGGTTAATGATACTGCAGTTTAAAACGGGATTTAAGACGATTTAAGCGTATGGCAACAATGAATCATGGATTTCCTCAACAAAATATGGGGTTCCCCTATGATTTGGCTTAAGAACAAGAAATCGGGAATGAACCAAGCAAACGTGAGAAATGAATTGACATTAACCAATCAGAAATGAGGGAAGACACCAAAAGCGGCCACAGACTTGATCAATCTGGATAATCTAGGCAAGATAGATCTGCCATCAACCATCTTTTTTCGCAACACAAAGCTGGTGATCACATTGGCCCTGGGGCCGGGTGCAACAAAATCATCTCCAATACCTGTGGCGTTGAAATCAGAAAAGCATGCAACATGTTCATAGATTTACCGACGCTTCATATTAAATATTATCCTCCAGTAATCCAACGTGGCCATGGAAATGCTCTTTTCTTTTGGAGGGTACTCATAGATCAATGGGATCACATCAAACTTTTCAACCTCGGCTTTCACAGTCTTTCAATATCACGATAAATCTAATATAAATCCCTGTTATGATCCCTATGATCCCCATTATTCCAATATGATCCTGATGATTGTCCCTGCTTTTCCCGTGCTCTCCCACATAGATCCCCCTGTTTTTCGCACCTGGGTCCTGGGCTATTTGGCCCCAACGGGGGCTGGTAGAGAAGATGCAGCCGCTCACATCTGCGGCGCGCCGAAACACATGGAGATCGGAAGATATGGCTGTCAATATCTGTTACCCTCTGGTTATGGCTAACATAGACCCTGGAAAATCACCATTTTTAATAGGTAAACCATCTAGAAATAGGCCATTTTCCATGGCTATGTTAAATAAATAACCAGAGGGTAATCCTCTTGTTGCTTCCCTGCGTTTTATGATGTTCTATGTGTTTAATCAGGGAAGCAAAGACCAGCCCTACATCACTTGGGTTTTAGATCAGTACGATTTTTTGTTTTTAGCATTTCAATGTACTATAGTTTAGATCAGTAGGGTTTGATGATTAGGGAAATTACAGTAACCAGGATATACAACCTATTGATGGTGATTTGGGGATGGTTTAGTCTTGGATTTCCAACATTCTATAGTTATAAGTTGTAAGTATCATAAACCATAAGTTATAAGTAGCATAAACCACAGTTCTTAGAGTTGTTTGCACCAACTTAGCTATCTAGGGATTCTGGAAGATCTATCTTAGGAAGATATAGAATCCCTATAGGTGTCGATCAACATGGAAAAGCACAGCTATCTTACGTACAAGGTGAAAACATCAGTTCATAGTTTTCAGTTGGTAACTTCAGTGGCTCAATATTTATTTGATGGATTTAAAACACTTATATCATATCAAACATCCAACTAGTTGCCACGGGCGCTGCAGGGCGCCTGGGTGTTTTGTTGTTTTAATTTTGTGTTTTTCTGTATTTTTTTGCTGATAGGGTGGGGTGGGGTGGGGTGGGATGTTAACATTCATGTTCATGTTACGCTGATGATTTTATGTTGATCATGGGGTGTGGGCTTCCCAAAGAAACTCCCCCAAAAAAGGGCACTGGTCACTTGGGGACCCACTCCTCAATGGATGTGGCGCAGAACAAAGCTGTGCGGCAATAATTCAGAGAAACTCACTGCCATGAGCAAATGGTTCCATGGTTGAAGTAGGTTTTGAGAAGTGAAAAAACAGGCGTGCAAGGCTGCATGCGCAGTTACATTGGGAAGTGCACGCGAGCCCCTTAAAACAACTAGGCGCCTCTCAGCGCCGTTCCTAGCTAGTTAGAGTGTAAACCAACACACATTACTCACCGGGGCGTCACCTTGTATGGACTGGAAACGTCGGCCCTTGGACATCGTATATGGATTTGTCATCTCCCAAAATGGCTTTTGAACACTGAACATGACTCATTTTGTGGACAAAGTGACCCAATTTTGCGGATATAAATAAATAAACACATATATATATATTATTATGTATATATATATATAAGTATGTAATAATTAATTATATAATATATACAGTGCTTCAATGGGTCCCATTACTCAGTATGATGTGCCGCAAAGCCAACCCGAGACCTTTTTCCCTGACAGCTGCAGGAGGAACGGCCAAGCTCAGCAGCTCTAAATCAACTTCCGATGCTTCGGCGAAACTACGGGAAGTCCCTGTTGGAAGATTTACCTTGAACTAGACTGACATAGATGTGGAAAACTCATGGTTTAGCTCATGGTTTCCCTAGCCCACAGGAAAATGATCTACAATGGTGGGTTTTCCACATCTATGTAAAGCTCATGGTTTCCCTAGCCCATACATAGCTCCCCAGCCTCAGTCGACAAGGAATGGCTCCACTTGCGGCATTTCCACTAAGCAAGGGGTCATGACTTTTTTAAAGTCTTCTGTTTTTTTTTTAATGTTTCCTTTTTAAGTCTGGGGCACTATTCCTTGCTCTTTGTACATTTTGGAGCTAAAATCTCTCGTTCGCTGCATGTTGGGGCTAAAATCTCGTTTTATTGATTCCTTTGGTTTCACTCTGCGTTTGGCTTCTGGCTTTTGGCTCTTGGCTTCTGACTTTAATTAGTTGGCTTTTAGCTCTTGGCTTTAGCTTTAGGCTTTTGGCATTGGTTTCACTTGGCCTTTGGCGTTTGCTTCGACTTTTGGCTGTTGGCTTTACTTGGCTTTTGGCTTCAATGTTTTTGTAGTTTGTATATAGGCTGTCATATTCACTGCACATAAATCACGTGTAAACTGCACTGAAACTAAATTGAACTGCATGGAAACTACATGATGTAAACTACATATAGAGCATCAGTTTTTGTGCAAGCTGTTGTGTGAGAAATTGACGCCTATTCCCCACAAGTGTCCCAACTAGTTCCTTTTGCAGGTTCTTGAAGCCGTATTTCAGGACAGTTCAATTTTGTTCTCCAGCTATAACAAGAGCTTGATTTGTGTTTCACAACGATTGCATGACAGTCAGCAATTTGCTTGTGAGTTTAGTTGCATGCTTGTGTGACTGGAATTAAAGTCCTTTTCAGCAAGTGTCCCAACTAGCCTTTGTTTTATGTCTGAAAACCGTATTTCAGTTCACTTGTTGAACCTGGTCTCCAACTATATATCTACGGGATTTGTGTTCAGCAACGCTGCGCCCTCCTCAAAATCTATGATTTATTGTTATTTATTGTTATTTTTTTATCATGTGTTTTTATTTGTTTATTCTTTTTTTTTCCTGTGGGCTACCCTCCCATAGACCCTCCAGTTCTTACAATAGCCAGACAAGAAACAAACAAAGGTTCCATGGCCGACCTTAAGTCTGCAGGATATCGCACCTTCCTCTATCAACATGACAAACAACTGCATATTCAGCAATCATTGCACCTCCAAAAATCACTTGCCCAATAGGAAAATGCTCTGGAAGAGACTCTGCTTCTGGGGTTCCATATTTGATTAAAGGGGTGTAACAGTGTAACCAAGGCGTGGGCAGAAAAGTGACAAGTATCCTTCCATGTATAGCGAAAAAAAAAATCACAGACTTTTCTAATTTCACCTTGCGGTTTACCCAGAGCCCAGCCGAAGCATCCAAAGACTTCAGTCTTCTTCAAAGGCTGAACTCCAACGTCAGCGGCGGGGTGTGCTAGGGCAGCCAATTTTGGCCAAATGTTCCAGAAAAAACATGTTCTCGAGCATCCCACAATTGTCCACTCAAGATTCAACCTGGCATTGAATGAAGTAAATCTCTGTAAATCTCACCTTTTCCACCTTTCAACAAATGGCATGGTGGACATTTTCTAAGCGCCCTCGCCGACCCTGGCGGGTTCGCCTGAGATGTGCGGCTGAGAACTGGTTGCTCAAAACCATCGTCCATTGGTTACAAAATAGCCCCTGGACCTATCATACAGTAAGGTTTTAACAAAAACATCACTGTTTGTTGGTTTTAACATGTTTTAACAATCTTGAATAATGATGGAGTTCGTCAGTTGGGAGTATGATTCCGATATATCATGGAAAATATTTCAGCCATGTTCCAAACCACCAACCAGCATCAAGATTTCGAGTTTATTTTCTGTTTTTTTTTCCCTTGGATTTTGCAGATCTGTGTTTCTTTCGCAAGGCACCGTCTTTCGGCACCGCCGATCACGGCACACATCACATGGGTGAAACGAAGAGGTTTACCCCCTCAGTGACTGCTAGGCCTCAAAGGATGATGACCCTGACGTGGTTAAAACAAAGCACCATTGAAATGGCAAGAACGCCATGGCCTTTTCTAGCATTGACCGGTAAATTTCACCACGTTTTCATAAATTTTATGAAGATGTTTCACATATTTTCACATCATGTTCACTAGTGAAATGGCAATTCATCGATATCCTGAAATCATGAAAGTGAAATCCGGTCTCAGATGTTGGAGTTCTTTTGGGTTGACTCTGCAGTAGGCTGCCGCGTCCGATGTCGGGCCACTCGAAGAATTGCATCATTTACCAGTGGATGGAATGGCTGTTCCCCGTAATTGTCAGACAAATTCTATAATATTAATATTTGTTGGCACAGCAATTCACCAGACAATAATCAAACTATATATATGTATATATCAATTTTTAATAATGTAAATCAAGACAATTAGCTCCAGAAAACCATGCCGAGATCATTTATGATATATACAATAGCGATAAGATAACCATCATGGTTCATGAAAAAAAATCATGGCTATGTTTCCATAATATTAGATAATTATATATATATTAATATAAATCAATTATAGACATATGTGTTGATCATATTTAATAAGACAGCCAATTCTACCATTTGGATAGCCATGGCTGCCAGCTCCCCACTGGGAGCCCTGACATTTTCAGGCGCCGGAAGGTCTCTTCGATGCGTTCCAGGACCGTCTCAATGCGCGAAAGCCTCGGGAGTCTGGAAGATCTGGAAGATCTGGAAGACAAGATGGACAAAAAAAAAACAAAACACCATGCCATGGTTTCCCAAAGGATTGGGCCACTGAAGGCTTGGGGTGAAAATCTGAGGTATCAAGGCCACTTCTGCATCCGTTGGTTTTCTGGGGAGATTTACCAGGAGATACCCAACAGTTTACTGGGTTTTTTGTCACGCAAAACAAGGGGCTATCACCACCAATCACCATCCCAATATGAAGAATATATACCTGGTTGGTGGTATACCTACCCCTCCGAAAAAAATGAATCAGTTGGGATGGTTATTCCATGTTATTCCCAATATATGGAAAAATAAAAAATGTTCCAAACCACCAACCAGATACAGCAAAGTTGCCGTCAATCTGGAGTAACATTTTTCCACGCAAATCCCGTCAAATCGCTCGCCAAACGGAAATGATCACCGTGGATATTGACTACTTGGTGGTTCATCCCACTTAGTACAGTTATAACCCACTTACGAGCCGTGGGATGAGCCACCAAGTAGTGAATACCTTGCTATCCGTTTGGGAGTCTCCAGGTAGTTCCAACTGTCTCTGCATGCTTGGATTTTCGGAAATATGGGTACTCATAGCTCCTTCCTAACCAGTTAGTAAATGGCTCATTGACATTATTTATAACCCAATAAATTGATATACCATCTGGCTATTTAACATAGCCATGGAAAATCACCATGTTTAATAGGTACACCATCTATTTCTATGGGCCATCGAAAAACAATGGCTATGTTAGTCATAACCAGAGGGTATAAATCGTAATTTTCATGGCTACGAAATCCGGACCTCTTTTCTCCACTGGAAAAAAAATCCGTGGCCCTGAGGCTCCAGCAAGGCCTTTTTGAGATCCTTGGCCTCCGCCTGCAAGTGAAAAATACGTGAGACCATAGTGCCACAGGATATCCTAATGTGTATACAGTACCTAGTATATATATATTACAATATACAATATTATAATATTATAGTATTATAATATTGTAATATTGTAATATTATGATATTATGATATTATATATATATTATAATATATAGACTAATAGATTCTAGATATAGTAATATCAGCAATATAGCCATTATAAAATACAGTCATTAAAAAATATAATACTATGATTCAATGCAATGATATGTGATGATAATCACTTGTATATCCTGATATACATCTATTGTTTTTTTTCATCAGGCAGCAAAAAACAGTGAATCCCATGTCTCCCATGTTTTGTGGTGCCAGGTGCTTGGGAATTCTGCGGTTCTGGATGCCATATTTCACCAATTTCATGGGAACATGACACTATTTTTTTAGCGTCGGATCTTAGGATACCCTATGTGCAAACAAAGCCGTTTAAAGATCATGGAAACCAAAAATGCTGACGTACAAACATGTAGAAACAATATCCGGGGCAAGCCGGTTTCCCCCACCCATCCCGGCTCTCATCATGTAGGGACCTTGAATGGGGGCCCTATTGCCCGACCGTTCCTTGAAACGTTGAACCAAGCTGGTCGGTGGTTTCAACACATCCCAAAGATATGAAGGTGGTTTGGAATCAAACATGACAAATCCCGATTCTGAGCATGGAAAATCGTTAAACAACCAACCACATCAACCTCTGTTCTTATTTATCTTCCCATGTTGCCCCATATTTGGCGATGAGATCTTCGCTTTCGATGTCTCATAAGTTTCTTGAATGGGAAAGGTCCCGGTGTTTGGTCGTGAAATTCCAATGTTGGTTGATTAGCTCATGTCAAATCCCCATTCTCTTTGAATCCAATTCTTACTCGGTTGAAACCTAATTTTCCAATATTTTCCACCATGTTTGTTGGTTAACACATGTCAAAAAACTATGCTTCCCACACCTTGCCGCTGTCCAGATCGCTGGTGTAGACGTTGTCAACGCCTGGCATGGTGACACGATGAGTGACAGCTCTCATGTCGAAATGGCTACGGGTCAAGTCATTGGGTAGCCCAATAATTAACCTCTGGTAATTTAACATAGCTATTGAACATGGCCATAGAAATAGTGGATTTTCCCATGAAAAATGGAGATTTTCCATAGTTATGTGGCTGTTTACCAGAGGGTAACACTAAACATACATCTAAAATCTGTGGTCGCATAGGGCTGAAAAAAAATGACCCATACCCAGATTTCAATATAATTGACGGGACAATTGCTGGGGTCATGTCAAGGTAAAACGTGTCATCTTATCCAACAAAATGATGGGGATCAAAATGATGAATGACAGAATTATCCAAGCTGTTTCTTGACATTTGGAAACATGTGGAAACACGAAGTTGCCTGTCTTTAACTCCTATCCAGGCGATCACCAGAATTTCGAAATCCCATGACATGAAGGGGTGATCTTCCGAATATGTAGAACATACATATATATATATATAATATATATATATAATGATATTTATATATACATATATACCCCAGTGGTATCGCCATGTCATGGCCAGTCTTAAGTAACCTTCCAGAAATTTCATGCGAGTGTTACCGTTTCAAAAAATAGACCCGACGGAAATCACCATATTCAAAATTACAAACAAAAAGATGCAGGGAATCATCCACGTAATCAACCCACCATCATGTACCAGCGAAGCCCGAGGCGTAGGAATTTCAACACCATTTTGAAAAGCGAACATTTTTTTGAATTCTCACACTTCTCCGGGTTCACCGCAAAATTCTCACACCAACAGGAAATTCTCACACTTGTTGTTTTCTTTTCTGTGTTTGAGGCGGTTCATCCCGAACAACAACACACACTTTTTTTTAAAATGTTTTGTCACTCTTAGCATGGTCCTCATGGGCCTACTCATCAAACATATCAACTGGATAAAACATGCTACCAAACTAGTTGCGATGGAGGCAGTTGTCATCGCAATATCCCAAAGCAGCTAATTATTCATGTGTTTGTCACGTTATCACTGACACTTGCACTTCCCAAGAGTCTCCATGTGTTTGGCATTTGGGAAATGTATTTGCGTTCCGTTCGATGGTCAAAATTTCTAAAAACTATGGTTTGGAAAAATGTTTTTTGATGAAGCAATCTGAAGCACCATGTTTTTAATGTTGATACAAGTTGGTTGAATACGTACTATACATGCATTTTCTCCGGGTTTTCTCGCGTTTTTTTCTCACACCATCTCCGGGAATTCTAGTCCGGGTGTGGAATTTTTCCGGCTTTATTTTTGAATTTCTCTGGGTCTAGTGGCTCCAATTGCCATGCGCAATTTCACCCAAGCAGTGGCAAAAATAGTCTTGGAGACATCCTGCGTCCTCACACTTTGAAAAAAACACATTTTCCAATTGAATGATGCCTGCACCAGCAACTGCACCTGCCCCGTTTAGAAACTGCGTGGCCAAAGTGGTAGGTGTGCCCCCATCATTGCAAAAAAAAACAAGTTCGGAAAAAAACCATCCCCACAAGAACACCAGAACTGTGCCAAATAGAAATGGCTGGTTGCAAGAAGCAATGGAAGGCAAGTTCCTAAGCAAACATACCAGAAACAAATGTCAGAATACCCTGCAGGCATCTCAAGCTGAGCCATTGCCACCTTCAGAACGCCACAGGAACCCCAAAAATGCATGTCGGAACAAATTCTCACACCAAATTCAACAGGCGGATGAATTCCAACACCAGTAATAAAAACGAACATTTTTTGAAAAAACGTTGGATTTCCGGGTTTTTGGGCTTAGCTGGTATATCATGGACACAGAAAAAAATACAGTACCTATCGTCTTTGACGGGAAAACCATATCTGGGAAGGTAATTTTACATATCTATTTTTTTGCCGGGGTAATCGCATCAGTAGTATTCCCAATGTCAGCCTCTCAGAGATTAAACCATGCTAAGTGGATTAATTATATATATATCCAATTATTAATATATTAATATATTAAATTCCTGTTGGAATTCGAACTAAAACGCAAACCCAGGACTAAGGGGGGGTGATTTTCCCTATAGAATAGAAACCCAAGAAAACCAACAGCGCCCTGCCACTCCTATAAAATGAAAACCCAGCATCATACTGTCCACTGCTTCTAACAAATAATCCACTATAAAATGAAAACCTGAGTCCAAGTGATTAGGAAAAAGACCCCCTATAGAATAGAAAACTGGGTATGCAATGCCTTAAGTTTGGTTTCACTTTTTGGATCTGGGCTGGCACCATTCCACAAAAGAATCTACTTGGTGATTATTTTATAGAGGGGGGTTGGATTTCCATTTTATAATCACTTGGACTCAGGTTTTCATTCTATAGTGGATTATTTGTTAGAAGCGGTGGCTATGAGGCTATGAGGCTGGGTTTTCATTTTATAGGAGTGGAAGGGGAGGTGTCAGTGGACAATAATATTGTAAATACTGTGTGATACTGTAAAATATTGACACATACTGCAAACGCATAAGTAATCAACACTGTTAACGAATCAGTTTTCTGCAGGGCTGCTCCTTTAAAATGGAGATCCAACCACTTTTCTAAAAAATTGTTCCCAAGGATTTTTTAGCTTGAAAGGTGCCAGCCCAGATCCAAACGTGAAACCAAACTTTGGGCCTTGGACAAAGCATTTTCTATTCAGTAGGGGGTCTTTTTCATGATCATTGGGACTCAGTGTTTTACTATAAAATGGAGATCCAACCACTCTTCTAAAAATGGTTCCCAAGGATTTTTTTGCTTGAAAGGTGCCAGCCCAAACGTGAACCACATTTTGGGCCTTGGAAATAGCGGTTTCTATTCTATAGGGGGCACCTAATCACTTGGACTCAGGTTTTCATTCTATTGTGGATTATTTGTTTGAAGCGGTGGGTATGAGGCTGGGTTTTCCTTTTATAGGAGTGGAAGGGGCGGGGAGGGGTCAGTGGGCAATAATATTGTAAATACTGTATGATACTGTAAAATATTGAAACTTACTGTAAACGAATAAGTAATCAACACTGTTAACGAATCAGTTTTTAGCAGGGCTGCTCCTACAAAATGGACATCCAACACCACTTCCAAAAAAATGGTCCCCAAGATTTCTTTTCTTGAAAGGTGTCAGCCCAAACGTGAACCACATTTTGGGCCTTGGAAATAGCGGTTTCTATTCTGTAGGGGGCATGTTTCCTAATCACTGGGACCCAGTTTTTCATTCTATAGTGGATTATTTGTTAGAAACGGTGGCCAGTATGAGGCTGGGTTTTCATTTTATAGGAGTGGAAGGGGAGGTGTCAGTCGACAATAATATTGTAAATACTGTATGATACGGAAAAATATTGACACATTCACATACTGCAAACGAATAAGTAATCAACACTGTTAACGAATCAGTTTTGTGCAGGGCTGCTCCTTTAAAATGGAGATCCAACCACTCTTCTAAAAATGGTTCCCAAGGATTTTTTTAGCTTGAAAGGTGCCAGCCCAAACGTGAACCACATTTTGGGCCTTGGAAATAGCGGTTTCTATTCTATAGGGGGCACCTAATCACTTGGACTCAGGTTTTCATTCTATAGTGGATTATTTGTTTGAAGCGGTGGGTATGAGGCTGGGTTTTCATTTTATAGGAGTGGAAGGAGGGGTGTCAGTGGGCAATAATACTGTAAAATATTGAAACATATTGTAAACGAATAAGTGGTCAACACTGTTAACGAATCAGTTTTGTGCAGGGCTGCTCCTTTAAAATGGAGATCCAACCACTCTTCTAAAAATGGTTCCCAAGGATTTTTGAAAGGTGCTAGCCCAAACGTGAACCACATTTTGGGCCTTGGAAATAGCGGGTTCTATTCTGTAGGGGCATGTTTCCTAATCACTGGGACCCAGTTTTTCATTCTATAGTGGATTATTTGTTAGAAGCGGTGGCCAGTATGAGGCTAATCATACTGGCCACTGCTTGTAACAAAATCTAACAAACAATCCACTATAAAATGAAAACCTGAGTCCAAGTGATTAGGAAAAAGACCCCCTATAGAATAGAAAACTGGGTTTGCAATGCCTCAAGTTTGGTGTCACTTTTGAAAACTGCATGGGCGCAATCCAGGTACCATTCTATAGTAAACACTGGCCTACCAGCCTCATCTCTATAGAATCGTACCCCCAGGTGATCTATTTTATAGAGATTTTTCCAAGGAGGATTATATTAATATATATATATATACACAGTAGCACTTATACTAAATAAGGCAATATCATTGTTCTTAATATTAAGAGACCGTATATTTAGGATTATTTAGCCATTCAGGGCTTATCAACCACGAACAAATAACTAAGAATATCAACCATCGTTGCCAGGGTCACCGGAGGGAAGACCCTGCCCTGCCTTGACACTCGAGCTTGTGAGCCTGCGTCCATGCAGACCATACGGGAATTCGATGTAAAAATCACTTGGATGTGGTGAATAACCAAGTAATTACTGGGATGATAGAACTTATCTAATGATTATAATATATTATAATGACTTATCTTATTTAATGGTTGTAATTAATTCAGTTATTTCATCATTGATAGATGAAATATGATGGAATAATCCATTTAAGGGGAACTTCCATCATCATTCGCAATCCCCAAAAGGATGCTGAATGCCGAAACGTGCTAAGCTAACAATGGAAACACTGACTACGTAGAAATTAAAATGTAGTACTGTAGCAAGAAGCAACGCCATAGTGTCAGCAATAAATAGTCATATATATATGATAAACATTGATAAACAATCATGATAATACCAATAAAACCACCAACAATGAGAGTGATGACAAGAGACTAATAGACAAACGATGATAATACATGTGGATTGATGATTATGATTTATGCAAGCATTCACCCCCGGCCAAACAACTGGAGCAACTGGATATGCTGAGAACCAGAAGAATGTTCGGCATGGGAAAACGATTTAGCATGGAAAAGTGCAACTGTTGCACGGAGCGTAATGAAAAAGGAAACTATAGTACCCCACAAGAGGAAACTGTAGTACCGCAAAAGAAGATCGAATTGTATTTTTCCGCTACTTTCGTAGAATGTTACTTGTGTGTCTTTCTGTGGGTTGCTACTGGTGGAGATTACCTTGTAAAATATTCAACAAAAGCATACTTTGACAATCGACATGGTTCAAGGTGGCACATACCAACAAAATCCATTAGCTGCATTATTATATATAGCTAAGCTTGGTATGCTGTATGAACGTACGATTTGCTCTCAATGTCTTGTTTTTTTTGCTAAGCAACAGTCACTTCTTCAGACGTATGCTGTATGAACGTACGATTTGCTCTCAATGTCTTGTTTTTTAGCTAAGCAACAGTCACTTCTTTAGACAGGCACGGAAATGTCAGCTGATGGTTAGATTACAGTCCCGAAAGTTGGAAAACTGAGTCTGAGACAAATCCTTACCTTGCCTGGTAAAATTCACAGTTTCAATAAAATGTACAGGTTACACTCTGGTAATTTAACATAAACTTTTGTAGATGATCTACCCTTTAAACATATATTTAAAAAAACATGTTTTTCCATAGCCATGTTAGAGTTCCAGATGTTAAATCCCAATGTTTGCTGGTTAAAATCCCTTGTTTTTGCTGCTCAAATCATGTCAAAAATCCCCATTTTTTTGGGATGATTTCTGCTGGTGAAATCCACCCGTTTTTGCTCGCCTCCGCCTCCAGTTGGGCCAGTTCGGTACGTGCTTGACCACGTTGCTCCTGGGGCTGGCCGTGGTCATGGCCGCCCCCAAGTCACGAGGTCCGGTTTTTGGAGGGTGGAAAGAAGGTGTGTTTTTTGCAGGTAAACTTGGGAAAACATATGGGAAACAATATCTGGTTACGTATAATTATAACTAATCAATATTAATCAGATATCATATCTGTGAATGGATGGGTTTAGTTGGGAAAATCTTCACCGGAAACTGGCTGGTCTTTACCACAATCTATAGCTTGGGCTTTCCGGATAAGATTTTCCCAACTAATCCAATTCTGCTCTGAATGCCTGACCTTGAAAAAAAGCCTGCGGTAAACCCATGGTAACCATCAACTTCCAATTCGGGATGGTACTTAAAATACCTGCATTTTTTTCTGGGAAAATGAGATGTTTTACTGTGTACCCTCTGGTAATTTAACATAGCTATTGAAAATGACCATTTATAGTGAGTTTTCCCATTAAAAAAATGGTGATTTTCAATAGTTACGTTAGTTTTCCAGAGGGTATATTGGGTTTACCAGATGTTTGGGGAACCTGGTGAATGAACTGCTTGAGATCCCCAAGCTTCCCCAGATTTCTGCATGGCTTGACCAGGGAATATGGCAAGCAATTTCTCTACCCAGCCATTGACATTCATTGACATTGCTGGTTATCAATACAAACTCATGTGAACAGAAGACACCTATATATGTATAAGATTATAAGATTGTGTGAAGATGGATGATAATCCCCAGGGATGGAAAACCAGCAAATGTGTAAAACACTTCCAAATCTTTTGTGATGATTTGGTGTTTGAGTCACTGGAAACTTCCTTATCCACTCAGACACCCACCTCCCAGCGGGATTTTGTCGCGAAAGTTGGCTTAGCCAGAGCTCAGTCGGAGCGAGGGTGGAGGGCCATGGGTTAGAACCTTGTTTTCAAAATTGCCATAATTTGCTGCATACCTCATTTTCAGATCAACTAACATGTCAACATGTTGCTCTGAATGGCTCCGCCTATGATCCAACATCGAGATAACATGGCCTGTAGATCGAAGCGGTCGTAATGAGGATTGAGACTGAGGCTGATGGTAGTAATGTTTTATCACCATGCTGCTTGACATATTTGGTCATGAATTTTCCAACTTCCCTAAACATGGCCTCTCCGGTTTCCTGTACATTTTTCTTCCGGAAAATCGTATCTTTGCGACCTCAGGCCAAGCTTGACGCTCTGCCCTAGCCAAAGCTGTTACGGGTGTCCTGTCTTAAATCCAATGGTTTCCTAGCAGTATACTGAAAACCGGGTCCCCCAAGTAAAACGCACAAACAGGAGCTGTTAGAGCTGTTATAAGTTATAGTAGGTACTGATAATCCAGCATTTTCCAAGTACCATCTATTCCAGAAGATCAGAAAGATTTCAGGAGTCGAGCATTTTGCTGTGAAATCATCAACCTCTGAAGGTAGGAGACAGCTTCTGTTCTTGAAATAAAGGAACTAGGATGTGTAGCTATTTTTCCGCTGTGGCTTTGTCTGTTTTAACAAGGTGTGTGTTCATCACAAGTTCCCTATCAATTTCAGAAAAACACTATTCGCGGTAAAAGTCAACTTAGAACACACAAACATATTCATGTTGTTGGTTGTATATCCCATATGCCTGTATTTTGCTGGTGAACTATCCCCAGGTTTGGGATAAAATCCCGAAGTATCATTGGTTGGAGACTTGATACATCAGCTGTCTACTCTCCCGAAAACTAATGTTGTACCAAAAACAAAGGTTCCATGTTAGCGCACCCATGTAAAAATTCATGAGCGGGATACCGTCTGATAAACTAACATAGCTATGGAAAATCACAATTTTTAATAGGAAAATCCACTATAAATCACCATTTTCAATAGCTATGTTAGTCATTACCAGAGGGTAAGTGCCAGTGTATCTCCTACGAATTTTGACCTAATGCATGGCCATCGAGTCGGCCAAGATCGCCGCGGCTGCGATGCCGCCTTGTTGCAGCAGTAGTGCCCCATCGGTCGCACAAAGGCCACAGAGGCTAGTGCGGCTTGTGAATGTATATGGATGGATGTAAATACATATACATACATATATATATATATATATACATACATACACTAATATGTATGTAATTATAGTTGGGTGTCTAAATCAACTTAAACTTGAACTGCGGGGCCCTGGCGCCTCACTTTGCAGGCACCGAAAAATCTCAGCTGCTTTTCATCACACACAAAATCATCCACATCACTGGCGCAAAGGTCAAAACTTCGAACTCCAAATCGGAGTGGCAACGGAGTCGACATTTCTCAATATACCCTCTGGTAAACTAACAGTTCGCTATTGAAAATGACCATTTATAGTGGATTTACCCATTGAAAATGGTGATTTTCCATAGTTATGTTAGTTTACCAGAGGGTATGCTGAATGTGTTCAACTTCAAAGTCAAATTCAAAGGTCCAAGTCCAAGTCTGTTACAACTGTTGTTGGTTACGAATCATCCTGGAAATACTGCGAGTTTGTAATTTTTCGTAAAAAGTAAATTGTCAATTTTTCTATTCTATCTACTCCAAAATTGATATATATATATATGTATATATATATGTACACATGTAATTTATATATGGTTCTATAATATTCGATATAAAATAATGTTTTCAAGCTTTATACTTTCATCTTTCCTGGCAAATGTCCTGCCCACTGGTTGCTCATATCAATTCAGATAATCTCATTCACCAAAGCAAAATTGTTCCCAACACCCTAGATACTTTGGGTAAATAGAGAATAAAGTCACCAATTTCTTTTGCATGTGGCAATCGCGTTCATATGTATACATATATAACAATAAAAACACTGTGCAATACTAGGTTCAATATGCCAAGTGGCCACAAAAGAAGTTGATTGGGTCGATATCAAATCGATCAACTACAGCAAAGAGTACCCATGGGTTTGAAAAAAATGATTCAGACTGCGATTCAATCTATGTGACTTATATGATTTATACTAATGATTTACATGAAACATATTTAGATTCTAGAGAGCTACCGTGATTTTACCCATCAAAAATTTCAGCTCCGTTAGGCTTCCAATTTGGAGAGCTCCACCTGAGCTTCAGCGCTCAAGGCCTTAAATCTCAATGCCTCCGCGTAGTCCCTGGAGGCCTTAAGGCGTCGGTCATCCGAGGTCATCCATGAAATGGACGCAGCAGAAATCTCCATGATTTTTTCAGCATCAAACCATGGTGGTTATAAGAGGCTTAATTTATGTGTGTATATATATACGTACATATGTATATATATATAATAATAATAATAATTCTTATGTATTTTTTCTATTATTGATATATATATATATATATAATATCATATTATATATATATATACATCAAAAACTAGGAAAAGTACCGAAAGATTCAGGTGTAACATGGTTTTTTCTTATACTTTTGCAAATGTGGATATAACATGATATAACACCAACATTAGTGTGAAACACTACCCAAAGAAAATGGGCCACACAAATCAATAATACTAAACAAGGGTTTCATGCGGGGAACACATTTCATGATTTGGGGCAAGGATTGCCAATCATCGAGCTATTAATATGTTGGCTTTCACCTGGTTTTCACCTTCTACCACCTGGTAATTTAACGCAGCTATGGCAAATCAATTTTAATCTGTAAATCATCATGTTTATCATCGAACTAAGTGGGCCATGGCTTCCAGTTCGCAAACTGTTAGTCATAACCACAGGGTAAGATGGATCCAATCCAGTTGAAGCGCACATTTTTGAGTTCCTGCGCGCTTTACTGACCAAGGCAACTGCCGAAACTCCAAAATTCGTGACTCGGAAGGGACGTGTTGACCCATAACAAATATAACAATGGTTTGTCGATAATGTAACACAGCACCTAGCATCCAACCAATACTATACGTGAATCTCGCGTACATCTGCGTTTGCCCAAGAGTCTGATATACACTTCGCTGGGTCATCAAATCATGTTCACTGCAAGATGGCTTTTGTGCATTGGTCCCATTTTCAGACACACTCCAATATAATGTTGTTGATTATTTATCATGATATAGAATATCAGTTTCTATCACATTCTATCCCAGTATACCCATTTACGCCCAATAACTTAGATATCTAGATCCCTATCCTTATTCAATGGGAATTTCAGGATCCTAAAATGGAGGTACTGTACCACATAATACCATATAAGACCATATTTTGAGGGGATATTTCTCCAACATTGGCCTTGTACCTCCAATTTGGGTTGAAATGGCCATTGACTTACCCTTTGGCAAACAAACGTTTACATAACTATGGAAAATCACCATTTTTCATGGGAAAATTCACGAAACAAATGGTGATTTTCCATGGTTATGTAACAAATTACCATAGGGTATGATGAAATCCCCCGTTTTATCCCATCTTCACATGGCGCCGAGCCACTGCCGCGATCTTTTCGGAGGACTCGTAGTGCTGAATCTCCTGCAGTGAACGAGGACGCGCGGGGTGCGCCCACCATGGTAGGATCCGACGGGATAGGACTATGGATGCTACTAACAGTACTAACATGGTCAATCTTTGGTCCACAGAAAAATCTTCTGCCGCTTACTGCTGGTTGTGGTGATTTTCCACTTGATTTAGAGATCTTTAGTCCGCAAAAAACCAAAGGGATGCTGCCGTATCCAGTCGGTTGGGTCCAGTGAGATCGGTCTCCCGTGTCGACAATAAAAGTTCTGGTCATCAAACATGGCTAGCCTTATATAAATGGAGGGTTGTAGCCAATGAACATCAAGTATCAATATGTATCAATGGTGGATTTTCGAGCAAACCACCTTTTTCGCGACACCGGTAAGAAACCGGAGGGTTTCTAATCACTGGCTGATGGGCTTCTTCGGCCTGTTCCAGTGCAGCATGTGATTGGAACCATACTGGAAGCCTATGGCTTTGGATCCTAGGGATAGGAATGGACAATCAGCAAACCTCAACGAAATCAGGAAAAAACAATATAGAAAGCATACGAGTATCAACCAGTGCACAAGTCCACCACTCAACTCACTTAACAGCTCATAAGCAAAACGAACCCGGTCCTCTCTCAATTTCCGCTTCCGGAGCCAGTTGACCTGAAGCAGTTGCGGCGGAAGGTGGGTGGCTGCAGCAAGTTTTATAGAGAGTCTTGTGGTGGGGCCAAATCCAGTTCACAAATTCAAACAACATGTTTACAATCCTTCTGAATCCTATTGAGCAAATAACTCTGGTTATATAACACATGAGTGTCACACAATGAGAGTGGTACAATGGTGCTCCCACGACTTTGATTCACGACCGTCAACCGTTTGGGGCCAAAGCGGCGTCAACACTCCGTGGTGAAACTTTCCCCAACCATAACCATCTACAAGGAATATCCGAGTTTGTGATTCATCTGCAAATTTATACCCTAAATTCCATCCTCTGTGAAACACACCAAGGCACATAGTTTGGAAGCGCTTCCTCTCTGTCAGAGCTTTGCTGCAGAAAGAGATAGGCGTGGGTGCCAAAGTTTGGCATGCTCCTAAAATTCAAGTCACAAGTCGGCAAGTGGGAGAAAGTTGCCCCCAAACCTGGATGGTTCGTACGAAAAATGACCAAAACCACCGTGGTCCTTTTGGAATTGAACTTTGACACAAACGGAAAATGTATTAAAATAACATATGATAATAGATGGTAATACGAGTATTTGGTAACATCTGGTAATATACGGTAATAAATTGTCATATCATACAATCTAAAACATACATGGCATTTTTTTTTGGGGTGTAAACGTTGGTACCAGTAACTGTTGGGAAAAATACTGCACAGCATTATCAGTACCCAAATTGGCATCCATTGTGGGGAAAAAAAAACACACCATCCCAACGGTCATCATTCGTCCATGATCGTCACTTGAGTAACATATTTCCGCCCAGCTGAAAATTCAATAAACGATATCAAAATATTGGGTTTATCCTACCCTTCATATCTTGGGGATGTTCATAATCAATTATACTCCATTCTAATATTCTATACATATACCCATTTTGATTGCTAATGATTTATCTATGGCATCTTGAACATCTTCAGCAGGAAAAAAGGAACATCAACCACGATCTCTTGCGGTTGAATGGTGAAGGGTTCCCTGCTGGAAAGCCACAGATGTGGTTTCCCCTGTGAAAAAAAACGAAAGAACTGGGGTTTGTCTGAAAATGGCTATACCCCAAAACGATCCAAAACTGGTACTTTGATAGGAAAAATGATAATTCCCCCATGGATTTTGGATTTCAATTTTGGAAACGCCCAATTTTTTGGGAGTTTCCGTTGGAAACCCGCGGTTTCGGAGTCGTCCCTTCATCAAGGCACATGAGATGCAAGGAGCCCCCCAGGTACTCCGCGTAGAGACGGGACAATGGCAAGCCGACGCCGTAGCCGCTGAAGGGTGTGGGAGAGGCGGTGCCCTGTAGATTGGAAGGGCAAGGATGACAACATCGAAATCTACCCTCTTGTAAACGTTCACGTAGATGTGGAAAACCCACCATTAAAGATGGGAGACCATGGGTTTTCAACATTTATGTTTGTTACCCCAGGGATCCCCAGGGTAAGTAATTATGAAATGGTTGGGTATCCTATGATTTTGATGATCACTACACCCCTTCAGAATAACAGACAAAAAAATGAGTTCTTCGGAAGAGTAACGTGGAACACGAAAATGGTACCAAATGGCCCCAAGATGGTTAACATGGAATACAAACACATGAGCCGTTTTGGAGCCATTTCCATCTCCGAAAATGACCCCCACCTATGCTGGCTGCCCCCCGAAATCCTTCCGTGTTAATTTCCTTCCCATTGATGTTTCGTCCATGTTAGTGATTGCTGGGGTAGGATGACACGATAGTTTAACTTTCACCTTCAAAGATGTCCTCCACACCTCCACAATTGTTAACATGGAAGCCTGCGGGCAAAATGATTTTTCCATGATTTTCCCATAACAGCGTCTATGTCAATGATTGTGGAACCAATTTTCACCTTCGAAGATGTCCTCCAGACCTCCACAATTTTTAATATAGACGCCTGCGGGCAAAACAAAAATTGTCCATAACAGCGTCTATGCTAAAGATTGTGGGACCAATTTTCACCAAATATGGCATATATATGTATATATAAATCACCGAAAATGGGTTATGTTAATGTAGGTGTGGCTAACATACAGTCCATGTTAAATGATGGACATTTTATACGGTCATTTTGGGGTGATTTTACGTTTTACCCCTCTGGTGTCTATGTTAGCGTGCGAAAGCAGTTATTGGTGCGTTTTGACAATAACATGGAACACGACTGCGGAACACATGCACCCTTAACATGGAACTAAAAAAGTTTTTTTTTGTCGTCTATGTTATTCTGTAGGGGAGTAATTTCTTTTCTATTTACTTTGTTGTTTGGATGGCTATGCGTCAAATTTCGAACATGTATGACGAATATTCTGGAAACATCTTATCTTGAGAATGTTCTGAGGGTGGATGTATTGTGACTTCTCTCGGACGTAGCGACATACTGCAAAATACATAGTGGAATCAAAGGCATGCCACCTAGGGAGGACCAAACCCAGATGCAGCTGAAGAAAGATTCAATATCACATTGTCGGTTAGATGTTCTGTTAATTGCCATGATATAGCATTTTTTGTTGTTTCTAATAAAAAAAATCTCAGGTCTGTAGAGTAAATATATTTATAACATACATACATTAATATTATGTGAATATCTATCTATCTATCTATCTATCTATCTATATACATATATATATATATATGTATATATATATATATAATTATATATATATATATGAATTTCAAATCATCGTAGTTCACGGCCATTAGGGGATGATTCCCCCAATCCGAAGTCACTTTCAGATCATGAGAACACATCCAGACTTATCAAACACATAGCTACAAAATGTGATAGAATTGTGGATCATCAATGATCACTATATATATATTAATATATATATATATATATAACTATATATATATATACATCATATCATATCATATCATATTATATCATATCCGTTATATCCCATCCCCAAATCACCACAAATAGGTGGTATAAAGTATAAACCATTCCCAAATGGACGGTTTATGGCATTGTTTTACCCACATGACATCATCTTCAGATAGCAGCGAAGTCGTGCGCGACGCCTGATCCAGCATATGCCCAGTCTCTTGGCAGATCTGATTGCCCCTCCGCGAAGAGGAGGGGTTGGCGGTGATACGGAGAAAGCGTTTGGGAAGATGGACAATGATAGAAATATCATGGACATATAATGGACATATGATGGACATATCAGGGTAATATCATGGAAATAGTTGGCTATTGAGATGTACTGAGTAAGAAATGGCTGACACAATCATTGATGGGCTGATCTTGGATACGGAGAAGACCAGTCTATTTGTTCGCTTGTTGTCTATAGTCTATAGTAACCCATTATAATAGAAGTATGCAAAAGTGCAACCGGAAAGCTACAGTAACCTATGCGTCACGTTGCTGTCTGCTCAGTAAAGTTCAGCTCCGTCTCTCAGATTGTTTGCCCCTGACTTCGGTCCCAAAGCCGAGATTTGCTGAACCTAGTCCCATAGCCATGGAAAATCGCCCATTTATAGATGGTTTACCTATAAAAAAATGGTGATTTTCCATGGCTATGTTAAATAACCAGCTGGTATTCCTCCCTGTGATTCTATACTTGAATCCACTCTTCCGCCGAAGGTCATTTTTTCAGACCGGTCTCTGTTGCTGGAAGGAACACGTAAATGGAACTTGGTTCTGTGACAGCTGGAGTTTTCCGTGCTCCAAGTGCCCGGCCTAGCTGTAGAATACATGTAGCCTGGGCTGGAGCTGGGATGATCCCTTGATCCCTTGGTGGATGGAACTGGATGGAACATGGCCCAGTCAAAATAGTTGAGGAAAACCCAGCTATAACATGGTGGATCTTTCCACGTCGTTCTTCAAACGTTTACCAGAGGGTAATGTTGCTGCCTCATAGATTAATTTGGTTGAAAAATGTTGGATCAACTTCTAGGTACTTCTAGTGATGCAAACGCGGCACAAGGTAGTTCTAGGTGTGTCAAAATATGGATGCACCCCAATGTATCGCAAATTTAATGCCAAACTGACCAAGCTGATGATCAAACACAGGATTTTCGGGCGGCTTTACTGCCAGAATGGCATGCTGTGCCACTTGCCACAGTGCTGAGCCAATCATTACTTCTCTGTGCTCAGTAAAAAAGGGACTCTGGCTTTTCCCTTTCACCTGGTACACGGAAACCAACGCTGAAGTCCGCTTCAGCTCCTTTGGATCTTTTGAATTATGATCTTACGCATAAGCAAACACTCAACAAATATGACAACCTAAGCAGTGAAGGAATTAGGTTGAAATATGCTGAAATCAGTCTTTGAAGAATCCCCACAGCTTCGTGATGACGGACATGCCAGTACTGTACCTCAGAAAGGCTGATGACCTACTCCCTTCTAGGTTCTGCACCTTAAGTTTCCCTCTACCATGGTGTAATTGGTCATCTGTCGTGCCCATTGCAATTGGAGGATACAATTCACATACGCATGCGTACAGTCCATCCGCCTTGGTTTACACCGGTCAATTGTATTTTTGATAGCTAAGAATCCATTGACACCTGAATCTATTGGTGGATCGGAATTCCATTTATGGTTCCATTTCTAGCTGAAACCACATTTCTGTCTTTTCTTGTTGTTTAAGCGTTCTGTTTGATCATTCATCCGTGTCAAAACATGGAGTATGCTCCTAAAGACAATCTTAAAGTTATGTTTTTATATTTCATCATTTTTTTTATATTTAATCAATTTTTAAGGTATATTTCCATCCATTGGAATGGGTGGTTTTCCCCTATTTTCAGACAAACGCATTTTGGACAAACCCATTTTCTCGTCAAAAAAACCTGGTTTTTGGTGGCGAACCGAGGGGCTCCACACATGCGGCTGGCGTTCGAAAGGGATGCCTCCGCCCCTGTCCATGATCAGCAGGGCCACCTCGAGTGGGGCGTCATCGGAGAAAGGAACTTACCCGGCCTGGTAAACTGACAGAACTATGGAAAATCATCATTTTTAATGGATAAATCAACTATTTCGCCATTTTCCAGTTCGCAAAGTGTAACAAATTACAGTTTGGGTATAACCACAAACCATGGTCACTATCAGTCAAGGATCCCAAAAAGGTCACTTATCCCATAAAACAATGGTCAATTTTATGGTCACTTATCCCATATTGAATTAGTATTGAAGCCGATGGTCCAATGGTGACTTGGAGATCCATCGTCGGTCCGCATTGCTTGGAAAGGCAGGGGGCACGCTTGACCAAGCAGTAGGAAAATCATCCATCGATCCATGGTTAACAGGCGGATATACCATTCAGAAATGGAGGACATACTATCAAACATGGGGACAATATATACATATATTATATATATCTTATATAACCAACTAATTAGTGCGGATGTAGAAGCTATTATATATACAGGAAGGGCCCCCAATAAAATGGCTTATGATCTAAGGATAGATACATCCTCCATCCATTCCAGTAAACCTGGCTACAAGGCTACTTGGAAATTATAAACCCTTCCCAAAGCCTATATATAATCTACTAAAGACCTATACCCTTTTGGCTACATGTATTGTGGTTTCGGAAATTCCAAATAGCAAGATATAGAAGGATCCACGCCTTTGCTGACTCATGTCATCGAGCAGGGCCCGTAGCGGGTCTCTACCCGGACATGGGACCACCGCCGTCAGTGCCAAGGTTTGGAACTGAACGTGATCATTTTGGAATGTGATTTCCAAACGAATGTGGGTGAAACAATGCCATAAACCACCCATTTGGGAATTTGGGAATGGTTTATACCACCCATAAAAATGGTGATTTGGGGGATGGTTTATGAAATTGTTTCACCCACATGTCAGTAAACCTACCATTTGGGGATGGTTTTCTTCACCCATTTATGATCATTTGTGATGATCAGTTCATTGCATAAACTTCCAATCACATATCTGATCATCACAAACGTATCTGATCAGTTCACTTTCAGTACTTTCATTGTCCAATCATTTATGATCATTTGTGATGATCATTTGCGTCTCCAAATCTGACACTGGGATAGGCTTAACCCGGTCCAAATCCTCTAAGTCAGTCAGGTCACGGTAACCTGTGTTGGTCCAGTAGACCTAGGACCAAACCGCACATGGGACCACCTTAGAGCTATTGAGAACTGCAATCACCCGGCCCTTGATGTTGGTGGTTTTAACATGTTTTAACCAGCTTCAAAAATATGAGTTCGTCAGTTGGGATTATGACATTCCCATATTAAGGAAAATACAAAATGTTTGAAACCACCAACCAGTATTGATGTTGGTGGTTGTGAGAACTAATCACGATCTGAATTCGGCCTTGATGAAGTACCTACTGTAGGGGGCCAATTTGTCGCAGCGTCCTCCGGGCAAATCAGTGAGCTAAATGGCCCGCTTTTCATCGTTGCTGGGAAAACCCAACTGCCTTACTCTATGTACAATAAACAATTATACATAGGACCCCCCACCATTTACCCTCTGGTAATTTCACACTGCTATGCAAAATCACCATTTTTCATAGGTAAATTTATGTAACAAATTACCAGAGGGTAAACCCAAAGTTTTAAGTGTGAAATCCCAATGTTTGCTGGTTAAACCATCATTTATGCTGATCGAGTTTCATTTTTTGCTAGTTAAAACCACCATTTTTGCTAGTTAAACCACCATTTTTGCTATTTCAATATCATTTTCCTGCGGTACCCAGGCATGGATCAGCGCAACCCACCTGAGCTTCATCGCAGGCCACGCGAATCTGCAGTGGCTCGGGATTCCCCGTGGCGCCGGAAGCCAGATGAGTCTCCTCTCGGGTCATCAATGGTTCACCCATTGGAACCCATCTGGGAGGCAGCTACCATGTATCATCTGGTAATTTGACATAGCTATTGAAAATGGCTATTTATAGTGGATTTACCCATTAAAAATTGTGATTTCCCATGTATCAAGGTCTATGTACGGGCTAAATTTCAGGGTTGCGAAGTGTTTTTGAATGGTCTGTACCATCAAGAACCATGTCCAAAAATGTGAGGTAAATTGTCTAACTACAATTTGCAAGAGTTGTTTAATGAGAGACATGGAGAAACTCATCTATGCATGGACAAAAAAAACTAAAAAATCAAGGGACAAAACCACCTATCAATATGGATTAACATCCCAATATTTGCGATGGTCACATGTAAATCAAGCGATCTGTGGGAGTTTGTGTCAAAATCCTGAGGAATTGCAAGGTCTCTTGGAAATTTCATCTGTGGTTCATGTTTCGGTGTATGAATAGTGCCAGGTTCACCCTGCGATTTCTGGGGAGTTGACCAACCAAATGAGTTGCAATGATTGCTTGGTAAAGATGGCTATAGACTCTATAGACATGTGTGGGTTACCTGGTTACCTATTCGAAAGGACTTACAAAACATAGTTCCTACTCAAAATCAATGGCTATGTGGGACGGTCATCCTAGCAAATCTTTTACCCAGTCCAGGTCACCAGTTCTGAACGATCTTGGAATAAACCGCCCAAGCAAAGGATTCATGGTGCAACGTTCATCTTTATATATACCATCTGGTAATTTGACATAGCTATTGAAAATGGCTATTTATAGTGGGTTTACCCATTAAAAATTGTGATTTTCCATAGTTATGCTAGTTTACCAGAGGGTATATACACATACGAGTATATCATACATAATATTTACAAGTATTAAATAATATTAAATATATACATACGTACATACGCTTCATGCCAAAAACTCTAGAAAATCGGCCACCACCATTTCATAGTGTTTCTGTCTTTAAATCATGGCAACGAAAAAACCGTTGACATCCGTTGACAGTTCCGCCCTGGGATGTCGCACGGCCACAGCGCGAAAACTATTCTTCAACAGTTCCGCCTCGGCTGAGCATATGCCAAGTGTCCCCAGGGCCCCCCGGGATTCACGAAATAAGTTGCTTTAAACCACATAGAACAGACAAAACCACCATAATTCCCGAGTAAAATATAGTTATAAACCAACTGATCTATTTAAAAGGGGAGGGCCTTCCCGTATGTTGGTCGATTTGTAGATGTGTACACGCATACACTATATATATATATAATATAGACTTGCAGGACACAACACTTGAAGAAAATCCATGAGAATCATGGTTTGGGGAGGATTTGAAGAGATACCATGACGATTATATAATACTTAACACCACCAGAAACTTTAGTTACTGTACATCGGATCTGTTCATGGATTGGGGTCCAAGAAAATGGGGTACCCTCTGGTAAACTGACATAACTATGGAAAATCACCATTTTCAATGGGTAAATCAACTATAAATGGCCATGTTCAATTCTGTTCAATAGCTATTTTAGTTTACCAGAGGGTATATTTCATATGCTCGGAAGATGAAGTATATAGTTTCACTTCTTGTAAGCACATGCTATCCAACGAGCACAGGCTATCCATGGTCCTGTTGGGAAATATTTACCATCCAAACAAACATCAACACATTCATCCGCTCAACCGATGATCATCCCTGATTTGTCCACATATATTTCCTATGTCAACTTGGAACATAAACAGAAAATCAGAACAAACATGTATAACATGATTATTATACACACAATTATATACCAACATTTAAGTAACGAAGAATGACACGCTTCGTAAGTCGTCCGATTCCAGCCAGTTTCTTTCAGTGCGCTGTCCGAGATACCACAATGTAGAACAAGTAGTGAGGGATTAGAGGCAACCTGGGCGTGGCATCATAACCTTCGGTAATTTAACATAGCTTTGGAACATGGTCCTTTTGAGAAATGGATGATCTACCTATGTTTACCTAAAAGAAACATAAATAAACTATGTTGAATAACCATAAGATAACACATATATCATATATATATACATATTATAAGGGTGGGTTTGAGGGCAAAAAAACTCCCAATAAAATTGTGTGGTGTCTTGTAAAGTTCCCTTCATCCAATTTCTGGCGCACAAACTCTAGGGGTTATGTTTGGTTTGGATCGAGAAAAATGGGGAATATTGTTTTGCAATCGCGAATGCAAACTTGCCATGAAATCACATCTGGGATATAAGGGCACAGCCCCGCTTCGAAGGGAATATCATGGAAATAGAACAACAGGGTCCATCTGCAAAGCAACAAAAAAAAAACTGAGCAGTGTTTGAAACGCTCCCATTTCATTTAATCGTGGTTGGTCAAGAACGGGACTACCATCAAATCAGCACCATAATTTCCACATCCCAGGTAGCAAAACAGTATGCCCATTGTATCTCTTCACACAAATCCAGTTGGATACAATGTACAGTATCCGGTATCTCCCAAAAAAATATCCCATCAGATATACCAAAATTATATCCCTGTGATAACCACATTCAGCACGAGCCAAGCAACTTTCGAGCCTTTTCGCTCCCATGGAAGGAGATCTCCACTCGAGGGACGGACCTCTGACGCGGCGACCATGACATGACATGGTCAGCCAGGTGCTTTTTTAAGGCATGAGAAATGGTTCTTAAGTGGACATTTCTTAGGAAAATCTACAGACAATTGGGGAAAAAAACAGTTTATGTGGATGTAACCAACCAAAAACTGGTCAATTTTTATATGGCCAGTGGTCACGAAGTAAACTTAGACACCCTGCAAAAGATGAACATGTTCTCAATTCTTCCCTCATTACTGGCCAAAGGCTAGAGTATAAAAGTACCCATGCGAGGTTTTTCCAGCAACCAGGGATTCAAATTGTGACCTCCCTCAGGTAATCAAACCTAGCAATGGAAAATGCACCATTGATGACTTTCCCATGAAAAAGCCTCCGCCTCCATTTATAAGGCATTTTCCAGCCGGCCATTTTTGATAACCCTCCGGAGCATGCTACTTCAATGCAGAATAGAGAACAGAATCGTCCAATTGATTTCGAACATATGGACTGTAGACCTAGGGACATCATGGAAGAAATCATGAATGCCGCTAGGAACCAAATCATATCCTATATAGTACGAGTACCACTCAAGAAAGTTTAGAAAAGTAACATCCTACTAAACTAGTGATCCTTTACATTTCTGGCTTCTTGGGGATTGCTACAATCCCATCTGTTTGGTGGGGATCATAATTCCAGCTGGAAAAAGGAGCAAGAAGAAGTGCTGGAGGCTGGAGACCACAGTTGTGGCCCTTTCCCAGTTGTCAGTCAGAGTATAGCCCCATTTATGGAATGCCAATTCAGTGTAAAACCATTAATAACGGGTAATAATCCTATGTATAGACAAAAACATCACTGATAAAGGGCTTCAAGGGCAGCAATCTGCCATCTTCAAAGCGTTTTCATCATCCCAAGGTAACGCACCACCCACGCTCCACGCTCATTCCAGTCACGCAAAGTACTCTCCAGCCTCAATGCCAGGGACGCCCCAAGAGGGGTAGTGTGCCAAATGAGAAAAATACATAAAAATACATAGAAAGAAAATACCGACCATATGTGATCATATATTATATACATGTATACAAATATCAACATAGCAATAATTAATATGAATGTATATGCAAATATGTCTGAGTCTATGTGTCTGTCTGTCTATCCATCCGTCATCTACCTATCTACCCATCTATCCCTGAAAGCTGGTTCAGAATCTGTGCGCAAGACAGAAAACAACATGTATCAACTTGTCATCTGTAGCAGTCCACAATTCTCTGAAACATGGGGGTGGAAAGTCCTAGTACCCTCTGGTAAACGTTTACATAACTATAGACAATGACCATTTATAGCTGGGTAAATCAACTATTTCTATGGCCATTTTCAATTGCTACGTTAAATTACCAGAGGGTAAACGAGCACACTGTTGCCAAAAGATTCAGCACCTTAGAAACCGCAGCAGGAGCCGCCGATCCTGGACGACGACCAGGATTTTGGAGTATGAGGCGATGAAAAGACTTGGTCCGCAGATTTCATCATTTAAACCAATATATTTCAATATTCATATAAATGGTATAATATATATGGTATAAATGGTATAATCAATTGTGATACATTGGTACATTATGATGTGGTATAATCTCAATATATCATAATTGATTATATCACATCTCACAGCATTTTAACATGTTTGATCTTCACCATCCACGCAACGAGGTGTGCGAACCAAGCAACCAGTTCGGTCACTTGCTTGGCAGCACTGGCACAGACTTTGCACGGATCACCTGGTGAAGCAACCGATAAGGGAACATCCTTTGCTACAAAATGCTTTTCAAAAAACGTGCTTTGTTTCTGCACTTAGGAAGCACGTCATCCAAAAGCACAAAGGAAACCTAGTCATTCTCTAAAAGAACAACATGTGTTTTTCCTCACGGACCCCGAAATGATACCATGCAAACTCCCTACAAAATGCCTCTGTTGTTTTTCAAAGCCAAGGTTTGAACTCTCTGTTTATGTGCTACAAAATGCTCCTTTGATTTTGATAAACCCTTATGTAGCTAATCATGTCGTGCTACAAAATGCCACTGCGTATTTATGATGGCCTAACATGATTAACATGTTGCCATATGTTTCCTTTTTAAAATGAGATTCACAAGTTTCGGAGTTTCGGCTACAACATCTTGGACATGGATTTTATGTCACCGTTAGCCTGACTACAACGGAGGGCGAAAATAAGAGGCACAAGGCTTCCCATCTTCTAAACTCCAAGGGAAGTGAATTTGCTTAGTTATATGGCGGTTTCCATAAATGGAGATACCCCAAAATGGATGGTTTATAATGGTCAATCCTATATAAATGGATGATGTGGGGGTATCCCTATTTATGGAAACCCCCTATCTATATGCCAAGCCCGTGGTGTTGGCCGTAAGAGACTGGTCGGGGGGGGGGTCAGACGGGGGGGGGTTGGTGCACGGCAAGGTGCTAAAATTTCAAAAATAGGTGCTCAAATTTAAGGAAATAGGTGTTTTTTTGAAGAAACCGGGTCGGGATCCAGTCGGGACCCAGTCGGGACCCAGTCGGGACCCAATCGGGCACCAATTTTTGCATTTTTGGGCACCGCTTTTGGCCAGTCGGGATCCAGTCGGGATCCAGTCGGGCACCAATTTTCGAATTTTTGGCACCACGTTTGGACCTGTCGGGAAGCAGCCAAAATCACCCAAAAACATGCAAAAACACTGCAAAAATGCTATTTTTTATGAATTTGGCTGCCTCCCGACATTGGTGCCCGACTGGATCCCGACTGGATCCCGACTGGATCCCGACTGGATCCCGACTGGATCCCGACTGGCCAAAAGCGGTGCCCAAAAATGCAAAAATTGGTGCCCGACTGGGTCCCGACGGGATCCTGACTGGATCCATAGATTGGCAAGAACCCACTCCCGCACCTATTTTTCCCTTCCCAGACCCACCCTTGCCCCTATTTTCCTTTTCCGCGCACCAGCCGTGCACCAATACCCCCCCCTCCTGCACCAAAACGGTAAAAGCAGTCTTAAGCCAAACGGGGGTTCTACAACATATATATCCATATATCATCATATATCACTTGTATCCATATGATATCCCCACAAGAATCCCTGTTTTTTTCGCGGCACCGAGCTGCAGGTCACATCCACCATGCCATCAGGACATTTGGAGAGCGCCAAATATTGCGAGGTCAAGGTCTCCATTCCTGGGACAACTCTCCACGGTTTCCAGCAAAACCGTGATAAAAACACATTCAGAACGTGGGCTTGAAACACATCTTAACGTTGGAGGGTCTACCATAAACATCTAGCTGAAACATCCATAAACCATATTTCACCTAGTTATTACCTAGCTTTAAAATAACTTAGCTAACTAGGGCTCCCCACCTTGTGTGGAAGAAAACAGACTTCTCTGGTAACAGCAATGAACAATGGGAACATGTGATATGGCGATGCTCAAAATAGGTAGTGACCCTCCAAAATGGATGAAGATGTCACAAATGCGGAAAGCCCAGAGACCAATCCGCGACAGGAAGAGGCGGTTCAAGAAGCTATCCACGAAAGCACCTTGGCAGAGCCCGATATCAAATGTTAGCCTATTGTGATGTGATAATAGAATGTATATATAGATATATATATATACATATATATATATGATAATCTAACAGAATAGTCTAGCAATATCTAACATAAACATTTTGAAGCTAAATCCTCGAACTAAATGGGGGCTTCCAGTTCGCACGCTGTTAATTTACCAAACAAAATGGGCTGGTTTGTGGCTTCAACCCCGTCTGAACATCCTGAAACATCCTGTCGCCAATGGGGATCATCATCATCCCAGGTAGAATAGAAGAAATGATGATGGTACAGGATGTACACTCATCATCATCATCATCATCATCATCATCCCATTAGAAAATACACAAATATGATGTTTCAAATCACCAACCAGCTTTCTTCAGCCATCTCCAGCATGTAACTCTCAATCGAGACAAATGGACATTTAGAGAAAAACATCAAATCACCAAATGTACTTACTCAGACTCAGACCTCTGATTCTCAAAGTGTCTCAAAAGTGTTTCAAGTTCCACAGAGGTTGGAACTCATCTGATCTCACCAGATGGTCTCCTTTGGGGGCAGGGGTCATTTGACCCTACCCTGGTGAAGCCCAAAACAGCTGGTAAACGGATGTTCATGCGCCTCAAATATAGTTCCACATACTGTTCGTGTGTATATAAATATATATATATATGAATGTTGGTTGAACAATCTCAATTCCACTTTAGTTGGTTAGATCACGTCAGCTCCACTTTAGTTGGCCAAATCTACAATGTTTGCTTGCTGAATCATGTCGATTCCGCTTGTGAATTGCTTAAATACATCCAGATCTATGGTAAATCTATTGAAAAATGTGGACATACAAGGTTATTGACCCCAGATATAGAGGAAATCGTCGACTTTGACCCATCTCCATAGTTTGGGTCCTTCAAATTCCCTACGTTTTCCAATTCCCATGACATCTCCACCACGCCACGTGTCTCTTCGTAGGGCTCCCCCTTGGTCCGTTGCAGGTCCTCAGTGATGGGCTCCCATTTTTTTCACCAAAACATTGGGATTTTTTACTTGGTGGCTCATCCCACTTAGTAAGTGGGTTCTAACCCCAGTTATAAATGGGATAAGTAAGGTTAATCCACTTATAACTGGGGTTATAACCCACTTACGATTCGTGGGATGAGCCACCAAGTACGGATCAAACTGGGGGAGGTTCATATTTTCCCATCTGAGGGCCATCGGGCGTGATGATGCAATTAGCAAGGGGATGTAACCTTGCAATCAGACACGAGGGATGAATTCGCCACTACCCTCTGGTAATTTAACATAGATATTGAAAATGGCCATTTATAGTGGATTTTCCCATTAAACATGCTGATTTTCCATAGTTATGTTAGTTTACCAGAGGGTAAAATGGATTTGACTAACAAACTAAATAGGATCAGGATCGTTTTTTTTTGACAGAAGGATTTTCTATGTTGAAAGGTTGATTGATTTCCCACTCTTAGGTTTTTCCATCTCCATGTGCGCAGTGTCCATCATTCTGCAGAATTCGGATAATTTGATTTTAAAGATTCTGTGAAGGAATCAACAAACCAATTGTCCAATTCAAAAACACACGTGTATGCATGCCCCAGTATATGCTCGTTTGTATGAATCGACGCATGTGTGTGTGAGAACAAATGCATGCGTTCATGGATGGATGGGTGGATGGATGAATGGGTGGATGGATATATGTATGTATGTATGTATGTATGTATGTATGTAATTCTAAGGTCGCACATATCTATGAATCACCTATTTTTTTAAAACCATGGTTTGTGGGATGTGATTAATATGAACGGGGAATGGGCATAGTTAGATGGAACATATATATATATATATATATACGCGATAATCCAGTATTCGCCGATAATAAGACAACCACTAAAGGCTAATATATTGTATGAAAGCGGATATTATTCATCATAGTAAGCTCTTATCTAACTATGATTATATTTATAGACTTATTATATACTACATATTACCATTCCCGATGATCATAGTTAGATGATTAGATGATATATTACTGATCGGGAATATCGTATGAGAACAAGTATTACAATTACCGTTAGATGATATCATCGATAGTAGATTGTCTTACAATTGTTATTGTATTACAATTATTATTAGTGTAGAGATGTGTATATATATATATATATACATACATGATATCATATACACCTGCAGCTATAGTTGTAATTGCTATGGTAAATATGCTATTGTATCGTTTGATATAATATATATCATGTAATTTCATGAAAATTATTTTGGACTATTGGAATTATATTACCGTTACCATTATATGATACATGTATTAGGTATATATATATATATATTTATATACCCATTACTTTTGTCGTTGTATTATGTTGTATTACCATTGCCACTATATTACCATTACCATTAGATGATAAACATTATTATTGGCAGATTTAATACTTGATATAGTAAGATTACCATTGTAGAGACAACAAAGTTACATATTAAAGCCCTTAAACACTTTGATAATCTATAGATACCCATTACCATATAATAGCCGTATTATTACCAAGTTTCATATTATCATTTACTTATTACGTAGCTATGGAACATCACCATTTTTGATAGCTAAATCACGGTAAATTATCATAAATAATTTGCGCTAACAGGCCAGCTTCCATAGCTATTTAACATATCACCGGAGGGTAAACCCAACATTTTAAGTGTGAAATCCTAATGATTGCCGTTTAAACCATCATCTATCCTAATGTAATATTTTTTGCTAGTTAAATGATAATTGTTTCAGACATGCGAAAAAACATTGTTATTTATCCCATTCAAAAAATCTTAGTTCATATTACCAGCATTTACCATGATTATTTATCTAAGTTAAACCATCATTTTTGCTATTTGAAAATGGGATGACGGGATCCCCACCATCCACCGTTCGCCAGGTGTCACTCCAGGCCGCCATGCCTCGGGTCAGTCGCAGGGCGTGATCCTGGCTGCTGAGTGGGGAAACTGAAGGGAAAACCCAGGAAAATGATGGGACAACTATAGAAACATCATGTTAATAAACGGCAAATGATGGGATGTGGAAAAACAATGGGACAAGTATGGAAAATTATGGGAATGTTAGGAGATCATGTGTTTTGAATCAGGGTGTTGTGGAAGTGTGAGAAGACACATGAGGGATTTACCACCAATTCATGGGGTCTTAAAACGGGTCAATAATTCGAATATAGTTGGAACATGACACAATGCATAATGTGTACATATGTAAATATATACAGTATATATCCATATTTGACAAACAGAACAAGACCATGATATTCGGGTCTGTCCAGAATGGGGAGTTTACCCCAAATTTGTGGCAAAATTGCTGGGGGATGTGATTTTTAAAACCATGGGAATGGGGTAACGGGTAATGTGGTTAAAACAATAATAAACCAACCCATTTTTATGGTTTATACCAGCCATTTATCTTAGAATGGCATGGGGTATGTTGCTGCTAGAGGTCTTTTTGGCCATATATGCACCCTAAGGGAACACCATCAAAAACCCAAAAGAGACTAAAGTACGCTAATAAAAACCCATTGAAAACCTATGGGAGTTTAGTGGGGAACTTTGTGTTTTGTTTGATTTTGTCTTAGCTTTGTTTAGGTTTTATTTTGTTTTTGATGTGGGTGCAGCCCATTTTTGGGAATTTGTTGGGTTTTTGTTAGCTTTTCTTAAGTTTTATTGGGTTTGTGCTGGTGGTGCAGCCCATTCTTGGGAATTGGCTGGGAATTGTTTGGAAATCAGTTGGTGATCCTTTTGAATATTTACAGATTATACAATCTAAATTCATATTTCAGGATAGCAACCCCCTAATTACTACTAATTGGTTGATGGTTCTAACACCACCAAAAAGGTTCCAAAAAGATTTGATCAAACAGTCCAAGCATCTTCCACCTCCTGTTGGCAATGACTTGCCATGATAAACAAACCTGAAAGCTTCCGGAACCTCAATTCGAGACACTCCCTTGCCCACCACGCGTGGCTTGCCATAGGGGCTAGGTCGTCCCTCCTTAGATTCAGTCAATATGACCACATAAAAAAATGCAAATAATAAACATGGAATTAAAACATATTTCAGTGGGCACAAAATTAAAGCCAAGATGCAGGGATCGCCCTGACAGGTCCAGCCGGTCCAGCTTGGTTTTCTAAGTTCGATCGAGGGATGCGGCCAGATTTGCGAGGTTTCGATGGCCCGGGTGTATCCCATGATTTGTCCTTAGATCACAAAAGACTACAGATTGCCAATGATGATCACCTGCCAAACCCTTTTTTTCCAATGATATCATTGTTTAAGCCTAGCTTCAGGGCGAGCTTCAGGGCGACCCTCCGGGACACCACCTTCATCAGCCATGTAGCGCCACCCCGCAGGTACGCTTGCTGTGAGCCAACATCTCTGTACAGATATGCGCGGGATATCGGTGCATGCGCGTGGCCTGGATACACCCCACCCAGCTAGATTCAGATTTCCTTGAATTGTATGTTCAGTCCCTTGCCATTGAGAATCCATGAGTATAGATTAAACCACATACATAATATATATATATATATATATATCCCCATGAAAACTGCACACTGCAAAGACCCATACAATATAATTAACTTGAACTTTACATGTATCTAGTCTGTAGACTTTTTTTCAATCTGGCTCCAAAATGGTCCACGCATGAAAAACATGTCACTTTGGATGAAAAGATTCCCTACTGCCAATCCCAAGTACATGAATGGAGACGACAAGTAGGGCGACTGACCTGATCCAGTCAGTCAGTTGACCAACACCAGGTTTGAGTCCCAAACGAAGCTGGAGGAGATCACCTTGCGTGAATTTTTCAGCACTACGTCACTTGACACCGTTCTGAGTGCTACTAGTCCTGCACCCGGAAGAAAATTGACTGTCACTCGACGAGTCTAAAATATTTCAAAGGTTGCCACCTGGCTGACATCACCCGAAAGTTGGCTGTCACCTGACTAGTCACTAGTCTTAAAGCCGCGATCATCCACTAAGCTGCTTGCCCTCACGATGGTCACCTCAAAGCGCCCGGCGCCTCCAAAAGGAGCGCTCATCACCATCTGCTCAGTCAAGTCTACCATGACGAGCGTGTCGCCCATTGGAGTCCATCGAGCTGGATGCACTGCTCGAAGCGCCGCAGCTTCCGCCGCAGGATCGCCCACAGGCCAGGCCTCGAAAGAGCTCACGGCTTCCATGGGAGCGCTTGCGATTGATAGCCACTGGTTGCTCCTATCTTTGATGCCATCTCTACGCTGTATCTACAGCGTACTTCTTTGCTGTAGGTGCTTGTGCCGCGCACAATGGGTCCAACTAATTGAGCTTATACAGCATCGAAACGTATAACCACCGCTGCACACACACAAATGCAATTCTCGCAATTAATGGGAATGTGAGAGACCCGTGCAACCATTCATGCAAGCACCAAACGGCATGATAACACCAGGTTTGTGTTTTGCAACACCCCTAGTCCTTAAGTGTGAATTTACTCCTCATTCTGAATTTCATATCCGTCCTCTGACTCCAGCAAACAAACATCCAATCAGTAAAAGTTCTGAACTCACATTTTCCTGCGTGGTGCCTTTTGCTCCGACAGCTGCTTGATGATGCATCGCATCTGGCTAACTGCATACCATTGAACTCAAAAACCGATGTCTGATTGATCGTGCGTCTCCCAACCCATTTTTTTTTCTAACTCGGCCATTGAGGCTGGCTGTCAGTGAAACATTCTTTTCAACGGTCTGTGCACGCAGGCTCACAAGCGCCATGGGAGACCAGCCCTGCACGTCGGGAAAATTTAGTGGGCAAAAGCAGCCTTTCGTCCAGAATGAAGCGTGGAACATTCAGGCAACATAAAACCACACAACACCAGGCATTCATGGAGATCGACGGTCAGTTTGAGCCTATCCGCGATGAAGCGGGCCCAATAAGATTAACCCGCCTGCCTCTGCGTCATTGTTCCTGCGATCCAACAAGAGCAAGGAATGCCAGCGTTTCCCATGAGGTGCTAACTTATGTCATGTTTTTCGCCCGCCTCGTCAAAAAGGGCATCTTCCCAAGCCCAGAGATCATCAGCCCAATGCCACCAAAAGTTGTTTGTTCTTTGGTCAATATAGCCTGGGCCACCGATGGTTTCTGACAAATTTGAAAAACATGAAGTCCATATATCCTGAGGACGCGGCACGTCCACCCAGAGCTTTTCAAACAGTCAAATTTGCGATGGACATTTTCGAAGGCCTGGAGGCTAAGCGGATCTGCCGAAACACCCTACAAGAATACCTTCCGTCCCTTCGTTCCTGCCCCCCTGAGCATCGTGCCCGCAGTTTCTCACGCATCACCTGCCAGGGCAAGCTCACCCGGGAATATCTCTTAGATGCCCTACGTTCATGGCCTCTACTGTCATCTTTACTGCCGGGCATGCACGGTTAGGCTTCGGTGGTGTGGGGCTCTCCTTCAAGGCCTGCAAGGACAGGCAACATGCATGAACATGCTTCACATCCGAGGGGCCGCACCTCCAAGCTCAACCATAAAGGTTCAGCAAAAGGCCAAACGGCCATGAGACGGTCTCGCAAAGAAAATAAAGGACCAGCATGCAACACTGAGCAGGGCATGTGTTGAACGAATCGCATTAACACCTAAGAGCCGCACTCTTTTCCGTGACATCAGCCTTGCGCCAAGTCTTGCGCCTGGATCGCCGACTTTCTGCTTTAAACACAACAATCAAACCCTTGGGGTTCTGTTCTGAGGACACGACTGCTTCACCGTCAAGGAATCTTCAAAAGCAGCCGCAACCGTATTTGTAGCCGGGTCATATTTTTGCCTCGTGTACACCATAAAACCAAGACGAATGATCTGCTACCAGGAGCAAACTCTGAGGCTCGGTCTGATAATATGCTCGGGGTAAGTGTTCCATCCTGAAACAGCACTCCCGTGGCGCATATGCTCAAGTGTTGCTCACCCTCTTTTTCAAGTCGATAAACATTGAAGCGCGCCTCACAATTTGACACCGCTGTCAGAGATGATTCCCAACAAAGTCTTGGGCAGAAATGGCTATTGCTTTGGTGGCAAAACTTTAGATGACAAAAGCATGCGGGTGCCCCTCGCTTGGCCCATTTTCGGGAATTATTTAGGTTTTTGTGGGAATTAGCTAGGTTTTTGTGGGGGTAAGTTAGGTTTTGCTGGTGGTTCAGTGGGACTATTTGGGAGCCTTTTGGGTTTCTCCAGGGGTTTGATTGGGAATCCATTGGGCCTAGAAAAGGCTAAAAGGCTCTTAGCAGAAACATAGTGCAAGCCGTTCTATAAAATTTATGGTGATTTTGGGGATGGTTTATCATTGTTTTAGCCACATGACCTGATTTTCAGACAAACGCGTGGCATGGCTCTGTTTGCCAACAAACTTCTGGATCTGACAGGGAGAAAAAAATGACCTCTGGGGACAGGCAGTGGTTCAAGAGAACTCTTTGAATCGCGAGCAAAATGGAACTTACCCTCTGGTAAACTAATATAACTATGGAAAATCACCATTTTGAATGGGTAAATTCAGCTATAAACGGCCATTTTCAATAGCTATGTTAAGTTACCAAAGGGTATAACATTTAGCCTCCCGAACTACCGTTCAGTGCCAAAACTTGTCATGGAGTCATAGTATGAACTACTGTGGATGGAAGAAATCCTGCGCCACCTTGGATGGTTGAAACCTTATAAATGGGATAAACCATCTATCAACTGGTGCAAGATTTCTTCCATCCACAGTAGTATGAAAGGGGGTCTTAGACAACAATGATGTTCTTTTAGACAACAACATCACTGCTACCTACCACTAACCTGAGTGATCCAGAAAAGAATGTTATATATTAGCGGTTTTAAGCCTACTTTGGTCACAAAACACTGTAACTACCAGCATGTTTGACCATTTTAGAGCAACAATCACTCCCCCATGAGGGGCGGTTCTGTTTATATATATATATATTTGTATATCCTTTTATGTTGCGCCAGATGTTTCTAGTATCAAGGCATTCAATGATCTTGATGAGATGACAAGTGAGTGACAAGTGAGTGACAAGTTACGCCAGTTACGCATCAGACTTCGAGACTTCAAAACCTCAATAAATAAATTAAAAACAACATTATTTACCTTCCTGTATTCAAACATGACATGAGCAGTGAACAATAACATCCCAGCCTGTCATTCAAAACTGGCTGGTTACTAGGGATTCCCCCCATTGGAATCTTTCATCCCCAAGATACAAAGGGTAGAATCGAATCCCCAAACTAATCATCAACCAACCATCATTCATCAACTATATCACTGAATATCACCAAATAAATTAGCGGTTCAAGCCCATACAGATGATTTCGAAATCCCCAACAGGGGTTTACCCTCTGGTAAACGTTTGCAGAACTATGGAAAATCACCATTTTCAATGGGTAAATCCACTATAAATCACCATGTTCAATAGCTTTTTGTTAAATTACCAGAGGGTAGCAGCCACTGCTCACATGGCTAGGACATCTGCACGCACCACGAAAAACGACGAAACCGGATGAGTCGCCCGGCGGCACGGATATGTTAGCGGCCCTTCTATGACCTATATCCGTTAAAGTAATGATACATGAATGGTAAAATTTTTAGTGAATGTGTATCTATATATGAGCGATTGTGAAAACCCTAGGTTCACGGAAAGGACATCCACAAATTTGGGAAGGTCCCATCGCTTACCACACGTTTGTACAATAATGATATATGGTAAACTTGGGGGGTATCGCTTGCAGGAAACTGCTGCATTTATATATATAATGTTTAGTTCTGATTTGTAAATGCCCCCTGAATAAAGCTATTTTTTTCCCAAAATAAATAATGAATGCCCCCTAAATAAAGCTAATTTTTTTTGGCCCTAAACCCAGATTTGCCCAGATGGGGCTGATTTTTTTTTCCATGCTTTATTTGAGGTGGCTTTCATGTACTAATTCATATTGCCAGCTCATTAGATCTTACCTTGATAACTTCAAATTTTCAAAAATAATGGTTGCTCTTTTCTATTCAAAACCTTTATTCAAAATTATCCAAAATCAATCCCAAATCAACTCGTCAAGGGTACCCCCCATGAGGTGCCTTGGCACTAATTAGAGTTTGACCCTGAATAAAGCTAATTGTTTTTGGCCCTAAACCCAGATTTGCCCAGATCCATGACATGAATACTAAATCAATACTAAATCCATGAAATGGATACTAAATCAATGCTAAATCCATGAAATGGATACTAAATCAATACTAAATCCATGAGATGAATACTAAATCAATACTAAACCCATGACATGAATACTAAATCAATACTAAATCCATTACATGAATACTAAATCAATACTAAATCCATGAGATGAATACTAAATCAATACTAGATCCATGAGATGAATACTAAATCAATACTAAATCCATGAGATGAATACTAAATCAATACTAAATCCATGAGATGAATACTAGATCAATACTAAAACAATTGCTGGATTCCTTTTTTTTTTGAAATTGCATTTTATGTATTCGTTTTCAAGTGTGGTAATTTAAAACCTTTACTTACAAACAAGTTTTATGGTGGCTTTAAGTCTATTTAGGGTCAGAGAGGGGGGGGCCCTATTGTTAAATCAAAGACAAAATTATATATATATATATATGTGATGAACTATGAATAATATGTGATATTTGGGTATCGCTAATGTGGATATTAGAGAAATATGATGATATAACCTTGAAAAGGGGTATCGCTAATTTGGGAAGGTCCCATCGCTTACCTCGTGTTTTTAACAATTTCCATCAGTTTCCATAAACCAATGTCCGTCGAATACATATTTAGTATTGCCGGGGTTTTTACGGTTGCTCATATCTATATATGGAGAAATCATGGTTATATATCCACATTCAGTTTTATATAACACAACTCAATAAAACATTCCTATTGTTGTTGTTGGCCATTTTGCTTATGGAAAACATCAACCATCAAACTAATGGGGAAAAACCAACAAACGTAAGCGGATGGGACCCCCTGAAAAATGATGGAGTTCGTCAGATTGGATCATCATCCCAACTCTTGGGGAACATGTATACTATTATAAGTGTATATAACTGTGATATATATATATATATGGGTAAATTATAATATTTCACTAACCTGAAACTTGCGGCCAGGTTGGGATAATTCCCCTTATCAACCATGAATCCAAATATATATATATATTTATAATATCCAACCCTGGTCACTTCGTCCTACGATAGTTACCCCACCAAATATACTGCTTGTCAAATAGCCTGACATCTCAGCTTGTTATTTTGACATATGTTGACCAAACACATGCAAGCACCACCAAGCACATCATCAACAAAACAAAACAAAACATGTCAATACTTCATCAAATATCATCCCCAAAAAAACATGTTCACAATTTACAGTAAATACTTTATAGAAACAAACGCGAACAAGCATAATCAACCATCATCCCCAAACTCCAAATACATCATCAACACTGAGAAACGACGCCTCATTGCGCTTCTTGAAGCTTCGGATCACGTCCTCCAGCCAGCCATGAGGAGGTCTTCAGTCAATTCAGTGCAAACACAAATATAACCAGCCTCCGGTGGGTTCATTTGTAATGTCAAGCCCGGATTTTGCTAAACCCTGGTTGATTAATTGTGGTGGTTCCCCCAGTGGTAAATAGCTACTGCGGTTTGGTACCACCCCCATTAAACAGCCGTTTGCGGTTTATTAATCCGGGGTTGACATTGTCCCCTCTTTTAAGAACAACATGGAGTCTCCATGTTGGTTGGTTCAAGTCCCCGAATTTCGCTCTGTAAGACCTTCCAAAGGTAACACACATATTGCTTTGATGATAATCCCATCATTCTGTTCCTCAAATGCCCCCATGATGATTAAAACATCCATCTAAAGCCCAATCTTACATCTCAATGTCTCACCAAGTCTCTATGTTTCATGAATTTCAGGCTTCTCAATGTCTGTGTTCCATATGTTTTTCCGGTGAAATTTCATCTGAGATTCACCGTTCTTGTTCCCCGTTCCCCGTTGTCACGGCGCCTTGAAGTCCTCAGGCTTCGCCTGTCGCACTTCCTGGAAGGCAGCAGAGAAGTCGCCGCGGACGCTCAGGATGTCCGACATGTCCTGCAACGAATGGAACATGAATGGAACATTACCCTCTGGTAATGACTAACATAGCTATTGAAAATGGTGATTTATAGTGGATTTACCCACTGAAAATGGTGATTTTCCATAGTTATGTTAGTTTGCCAGAGGGGTAATGGAACATAATAAACTTAGTAACATATATACAGGGTTGGTGAATTATGAATACTGTATCATATAACCTAACCTCTTTGGTTGGTATTTAATGTGGGATGTTTTATGATGCATCCCAATTAGCAAAGCAAGTGGTTAAAACACATGCGTAACTGGAATGTATCCAACACAATAACTGGGTGGTAATATGGCTATGTCCCACTTACATACTCATTGGGATGCATATTCAAGAACGGAACGAGATCAGATTGTTTTGGTGATTTGTAGTGGGGAAAGTTGAGATCAACCGTAAATTTTGGGGTCCTTTCAGGATCATTCCAGTTCGAAAGTAGTTATCAACTGGTTCCTTAACCCAGCTACTGAAGGGACATGATGCACACAAACATTGTATATGTATGTATGTATGTATGTATGTATGTATGTAAGTATGTATGTATGTATGTATGTATGTATGTATGTATGTATGTCTGTGTGTGTGTATGTATGTATGTATGTATGTATGTATGTATGTATGTATGTATGTATGTATGTATGTATGTATGTATGTATGTATGTATGTATGTATGTATGTATGTATGTATGTATGTATGTATATGTATATGTAAGATGTTATGTAAGTATTATATGACATAATATAAGCATGATAGGTGTAGTTACAGATAGTTACAGTAATAAACTACGTTTATTATTCATAGTATTGACCATCCACGTTGCCCGACTGCGCGTTGGGAGATGTGGGGTACCGACTCCAGCGTTTTACAGCACCCATTGATGGTGATGACTGGGGGATGGTTTATTATTGTTTTATGTTTTATAGCTTTTATTGTATTGTTTTATGGTTTTATTATTGTTTATTATTGTTTATTATTATTGTTTATTATTATTGTTTATTATTATTGTTTATTATTATTGTTTATTATTATTGTTTATTATTGTTTTACCCCCACATGAACTATATTTTGAATCATTCTAAAAATTAGTGGGATGAACCATATGGTTAATCAGTCTGAATCATGCTGGATTACATCCCCAAAATGTTGGGTACTTGGTGGTTCATCCCACTTAGTAAGTGGGTTATAACCCCAATTATAAGTGGATTAACCCTACTTATCCCATTTATAACTGGGGTTATAACCCACTTACGATTCGTGGGATGAGCCACCAAGTAGTATAATCCCCCCAACTAATCATCAAGCAACAGGGGTGAATCGCAGACCGGGCCTCGAGGTCGGGCAACATGTCCAAATGAGCAATCCGATTGGCCAGTCGCACCGGCAACTCCTCCTGCAACGTTGCAAAGTTCGAGAACTTTCTTGGGGAACTAATTTTAGTAATATCTATATATATATATATACATATGGTTTATGTATATATTATATATACACATTTTCATCTACTTAATGTTTGTAATAAGTTAATGTTTGTAATACTAGAGTAGAGTATATCAATATTCAGTCGGTTTACCATATGTATCAATAGTCATTAAGAGTTGTATAATGATAGTTAATATATGACTATATAAATATATATATATATACATTTATTTAATAAGTGTAATATAATATACAATGTGTTTTTTCCATTTGGATTGTCAAAGTTAAAGACCTGGGGGGCCGGGACCACACATGGTGACTTGTCTATTTTCAGTGTGAACCATCCAATTATTGTGGGATCGAATTTTGACAAATACTCATGTGTTAGAGCGGATTTATTGAGACTACCGCAGTTGTAACTAAATAATGTGGTAAAGCCAACAATAACCATCACCAAAATCACCCCAAATGGGTGGTATAAACCATCCGCAAATGACAGGTTTATTATTGGGTTGCAACTATAGGGCTCAATATCAATTAACTATCATGTGGTTAGGAAAAGCTCTTAGTAGCTCCAACTGGCTACCCATTTTATAGGAACTATCGATACCCATAGGCTCCCTCCTAACCACAGGATCTTGACGAGATCCATTGAGGGGACGAGTTTCCAGGTCCCGTGGGGTTTCAGTGTGACACTTCAGGGTGTGGGAATCCGCTTGTAACCGTTGATATCCAGTAAAATACCTATTCGCCTCATAATCTGATCATCATCATCATCATCATCATCAGCAACCATTGATAACCATTAAACCCACTACCATCATCATCACTCTACTGTTACTATATAATAATCCTCGTTAATCCTGTATTTCTCGTTGCTCTTCTCCTTTTAAAAGCCAGTTCTCAATCAGGCCTGCAAGATACTCTGTAGTCGCTCCGGCGTCTTCATGCCCTGAGAGAACGGTGTTGAAGACGTTGCCCAAAAAAGGTGCTTGCGGAACTGGGGGATATGCCAATCCATTCCAGATCCATTCCAGCTCCATTCCAGTTATGGGGGGTGTATAGCATTGTAAAGCGCAATTACTTGTAACATATTGTAGTGAGGAGAACCAACAAAAGCTAGGATACAAATATATGATAACAATGGAACTGAATACTGGTGAACTGGAACGCCCCAATTTCACGCAGCGCCAACAAATTCTCAGCAAGAAACCAAGATCTCAGTCAAACTCAAAGGCGTAGGTTTCCGCCTGTGGGATTTTGGGTCCGGTGGCAAGTGGGTTAGTGGTTTCCAGGGGTGGTTTTGTCCTGACACAATGCACATGGATGGAAGTGGAGGACTTACCCAGTGAACATGTATAAGCTTGTATGAGTACATTTGAGGGGGTGGTCGAGTTTTATCTTAATGCTCTTGTTTGGCTGATATTTTCCCCAGTTTGTTTTTGATGTTAAGTCCAACGTTCTACTGGATAACTTCCTTTTTATGGGTTAAGTCCACCAGTTTCACTGGCTAAATCCATCTAAATCCCCATGGTTGTTGGTCAAATCCCCCATGTTCAAAGGTTAAATTGTTATCTTGCGGTGGAGCTACCGTGATTGTTTGCTAGAGTCATGTTGTCTTGATTCGTGTGCAGCGATGCCAATGGAGTCCAACAAAACTTGCTGCCTCAAAAGTCGAAATCGTTTATCAATTTGTCCATGACATAGCCATAGGGCATAGTACATGTTCAAACAAATCGATTGTTCATTGATTCATTGGGTAAGTGCTGTTAAATCATGTTAAATCCCAATTTGTCATGGCTGAACCCAGCATGTTTTTTGCAAACACTTAAACCGCGGTTGTTCACCAAGGTTGATGTGCAAATCATCATTTGGATTGTGAAATCTCATCTTTTTCTAGGTGACATCCACATTTTTAACGGCAAGATCCCCGACTTTCACGGTGAAATCCCCATTTTCCGTGGCAAAATCTTGGTCCAACTACCACCCCAGCCCCCTGCCGAACCCGGCGAAGTCCGCCAGATCACCACTCAAGGCTATGCCGCGACCCGGCAGAAAAGCGGTACGCTCCCTCAGCACATTGTATCATGTATAAAGATAGT